CCAGGTTGATGATTTCATTTTGGCTACTCGTCTCATGGTGAGCTTCGGGCCTTCGAGGAACGATTGGCGTTAGTACCTTCGTGCACATTGAGTGGGGGAAGGGTTTTTTTTTTTTTTTTTTTTTTTTCATCACGAAGCTACCCAGCTTTTTCCCTACTTTCCATTTCTCCAACGCCCTTCTCTATTGATTTCATTCATCGAGCTGATGCATTGTCATTGCATTCATGCTTCTCACTGTCGATTCTAACATTCTCACTTCTCTGCCGTCTGTCTATTTTCTATTCCAATGTCTATATTGAGCACTTATTATGTATCATATTACTTCAGGCCGTAGTACTTTAGTGCATAATATACAATATAGATGAGAAACCTTACGTCCAACCCCCTTTCAGCGAGAGAACCATATTCAATGCTCCCAGATGTACATCCTGCTCACATGATATAGTTCAATCCGACGAAACGCTCTAACCTTGGATTTGATTCACCTAATGAAGACTAGCGCAGCGGCGCAGGCTCTTGTGAGAACTTTTATGGGTGCCCTACTAGGCATATACTAGCGACTAGTACTCTATTGGACAGGAACGCCTGAAATAGGGGATGAAGAAACCGAATAGTTCCCATTTCTCACTCTCCCACGCCAACCGCAGGAACAAGAAATGCCAGCCTCCTATTGAGCAAAAATTATTACCAGTCAAGTTTCCCCTTCGAGAAGGGTCTTGATGGCCGATATTTCAAAGAACAGGAACAATCATTCGAGAACCCAGGTGGCTATATGTAAACTGGCTTGATCACAACAATAGAGATTCCTGCAAGCGGTTTTGTTTACTCTTCGCATAGGTTTCCCTTCAAGGGGCCCCGATTATGTCTGGTTTCCTGCCGTAGGATTCCGGTTCGAAGGACAAACCTGGGCTGTTCGATCTTGGTTGTGTATGGTTTGCCATTCATGCTGTAAACAAAACAAACGTGGTGCCCTAAAATCCGGTGTCTATGTAGGGATATATATATCCAATTCATTATGAACATGGGCCCCCCCCCCCCCCCCCCCCTTCAACTAACTCAACCCTGGAAGCTTAGATTATAACCATTCTAGATATCTCTTCGAATGTCACATATGTATCGCTTCAAGGCGTGACTACATATCACAAGGTTTGTTTTAGTCAAACCAAGCTTTTGGCTTGTCTTGGCTGAAACCCCCTAATCTCAAATGTGAGAGTTCACATCTGTGACTCTTTCTGAGGTTAACTAGGACTCGGCAAATCATCCATCTACAATTGGATGACAAAATTTGCGGAGAGGTCGACCAAATTGCATGCGCGGAAGTAGAGTTAATGAGAATGTTGTTGAATAATTCTATAATCTATACTGGGAGTACCAGCCCTTTCGCTAGGTAGCCGAGGGTAGCCGGAAAAGATGCCGTGTTATGTGAACAAGCTACAATAAATGCGTAGCGATAAATAAGAAAAAGTTCCAAAACTCAAACTAACGCATTTCCTCTTCTTCAACGGGAATGCTGTTATACTCACCCGAGAAGGACCGGCCTGCTCCATCAGCGGTGGTGAGATCATCCTGAGGCTTGCTCTCGTGTTGCACAACTAAGAAGGACAAGAACACGATAGCTGCTCCAACCCAGTACATAGGGCTGGAGTATTGTGACTGCAGGATCATCTGTCCAACAAGGGAGAGCGGAATGGTCATACTGAGCCCAACCGTCACAATAAGCGGCGTGGTAAGAAGCATAGCGTAAGCCCAAGCAATGTCAGAGACAAATGATGCAAACGCGTTAGTCTGATGGGCGTGAGGTTAGTCAAATAAGAATCAAGGTAAATAACAGGCTCAGAGTCATACCAGAATAATTGACCACACTCGCGATGTTTCGGGCAAGGAGAAGGGCTCCATTCCAGTCCAGTGCATGATGAAGAAACCAGGCCATAGGAAGATAATGTTGAAAAATCCAACTAGTCCGAAGAACAGAGGCATGTTTACCCGGGACTCGTCGCCGACCTGTTTCTTCATCACGACGGTGTAAAGACCGTACAGGATCGCGCTAAACGCCGCCATGGCATCACCAAGGGCAATCTCCCCTGATGATTTGTGTGGGAATGAACCTTCACCGCCATCTGTAGCATCGCCCGTGTCTGGCTTGGAGAGATCGACGCGCGAAATCAGGATAATGCCAATCAGAGAAGCCATAACACCCATGAATTTGCGCATAGTAAATTTCTCAACACGGAGCAGGGCGCCGAAGACCATGGTCCATACACCTAGAAGAATGAGGGTGAGGATTGGATTTTGAACATATCTAAACAGGGGAATCCTTACCACTGGTGGAAGTCAGAATGGTTGTGCTTCCAACTGTCGTGAATTGAAGGCACCCCATGGCGAAGTAATTTGCCTGTCCAAAAAGGTTTCGGTTAGTTCACTTTCAACACATCAGCTACACATCGTGAGATGTACGACATACAGTAAACTATGATAGGGTTAGCCAGCTGATCATATGCCCAAACCTTAAGGTTGTGTACTCACCCATAGAAGACAGAATTGGATACTGAGTTTAGCTGTTGCTTTGAGCCCTAGCTTTCCGCTTGTAGCATCCTGTCTCTCCCGCGGGAATCGTCCGCCGTCTTCTTCATCGGAGCCGTTGCGCAGCATGCTCTCCTCCTCATCCTTGGGATCATGCGAGTCCAAATGATTCAAAAAGCTCTTCACCGAAGTGATCTGGGAGAGTTTCCCGAGACGCCAAAGACCCCATGTTCGACGAGCGACGATTAAAAGGAGGGGCATCATAAACATCGAGGTATTCGTATAAGTTACGAAGAAAGGTTTCGGGTAGGTTTTGTCGGCGAAGATGGTCTGGATGACATTCGATATATAATTAGCCCAAATGCTTGCAATGATATATGCCTTTTGCGTTAATGATATTTTCAAAAAGAGGGCGCTCGTACACTTCCAAGGAAATTCGAAGTTGTCCATAGCACAACCACCACCAGGAGTAGGATAATCCCTAATGTTCGCCGCGCTATCCCCAGTGGCATCGTGCCGGACCCCTCAGGTGTGGTCGACGTCATAGCAATTATAGTTGTTTGTGAGAGGAGGTTGATTTGCGCGACTCGTCAGGGTGTACTGTTGGTCAGGAACCTCGTGTCGCCGATGTCGCAATCGCTACGTTTGCAGCCGAGGATGCCGAGTTGGACGGTGTATCAGTCGGGAAGCTGTCATCTAAAGCGCAACGAGCAATGGATCTCCGGCAGAGACAAATGATTGTCACGAGACTTCCTGCCTAAAGATATGCGGGTTGAAGAGAACACGGGGCTAGATGCCAAGCATTGGCGAGATAAGGGTCCGGGTGGGGAGAAATGTAGTCGCGGCCGACATCATTTGACGCGGTCACTTATCCCGTGCAACTTATTGTAGTAATTACCGTGAGCCACATGTGATAAGTACACATGTCCAATGGCTGTTGTTAGGAGGAATTTGCCCTGGTGATGACGGGTCATCTGATGGTAGTGCGCTACTTCGATATGCGCGACCAACTGCCTATTACGGAAAAATGAAGATGGTATTGCGTTAAGCCCGACAAAGATATTGACTGCGTAAGACTGAAGTGAGAAAGTTTTGAGTAAGATGTTTCTCTCTCAGACGAATTCCATAATTGAAAATAAGAAATCTACAAGACACCAGGGGAAGAGCAAGGTTATCCAAATCAAACCCCGTGGTCTTCTCTACAGACTCAGAACCGGAGAACAAAATAGTAGTATGAAAAGGGAAAGACGAAGGAAATAGGTCGCTGGAACATGGGAATTGCAAGGGTATATCAACAGGCACATCCATCACGGTCATTGTCCAGATGGATGTTGATTGGGTCGCTGAATTCACCGCTGAATTCCTCAGCCTCTTCCTGGGCAAGTGCACTCCGCGCGATAACTAAATATTGATTAGAAACCCTGTAAGAGAACAGTTCTGGAGAAAAACTGCTAGGTGGTTGAATTTCACTCACCTTCAAACGCCTGCTCGACGTTGACAGCTTCCTTGGCACTGGTCTCGAAGTAGGGGATGTTACCCTTCGACTGGCAGAAAGTCATGGCCCGTTTTGAGGAGATCATACGCTTGTTCTCCTCTACATCGATCTTGTTACCGATGACAACCTGCACATGAACGTCAGCATGGACCAACATATCATTCTTGCCAGCTATTGCGGCGCATGAGACAAGGAAAAGGAATGGGGGAACACCACTTACGAATGGGAAACTCTCTGGATCTCTCGGGCTAGCCTGAATCAGGAACTCATCGCGCCAGCTGTCGAGAGCTTCGAAACTCTTGGAGTTGTTCACGTCGTAGACCAGGACACAGCAATCAGCTCCACGGTAGAAGGCGACTCCCAATGACTGGAACCGTTCTTGGCCTGCAGTATCCCAGATCTAGCACTTCTGAATCAGTTATTGCCCCTCATTATGATTGTGCTAGTCTCCAACACCTTACCTGCATTGTCACAAGTCGGTCGTCGACGAGAACTTCCTTTGTTAGGAAATCGGCTCCAATAGTGGCTTTGTAGCTTCCACTGAACTTCTTATTAACCTATTGATCTCGGAAAATTGTATGTTAGCGGTTATAGGTCTTCGTGACTGACCACGGTACGGCCGCAGAGCGCTAGTTGGGGGCGAGGCTGAACGGACATATTGGTTCATCAAACTTGTTTTTCCGACACCACTGTCACCAAGGATGATAACCTAGATTTCCGAAAAGGTGCGGGTTAGCAAATAGACCCCCTTTTGAAGCATTTGGCGTTCGTCACACGGAGCAGGTGCGGAGATTGTACCTTGAGGAGGACCTTCTTCCTTGACGCCATGGTTGGGAACCGGCCAAGTGACTGAGTGTAAATGTGTGAGGGATAAAAACGTAATTCAATATGAGGCAAAGACCTATAATCAGTCTTTACTAAGACTTTATAGAACAGATCAGGACAAGTCAGGAGAGTTGGGGTCGGGTTGCAGCCGGATTCGATGATGCACGAGGCCTGGGGCGGTGGAGCGGGCGGTGGGCAATTGATAACGATTAGCACCGCATCTCGCGCCCGAGGCGGCACCAACTCCACTTCATCACATTCAGGTACATCCCTTTGCTTGGGAAGGCTTATGGCCCACTGGAGGGAGGAGTACTTGGCTGCTCTGACAGTTCGAGACCAACGAGAGAAAGCAAATGCTACGCTTTACGATGCCTGTCAGTCTCTCATGCTCTTTGTTCAGTGATTGCCACTGACATCATTTACCAAATCTAGACGCCCAGCTTGCAGATCGTACCAGCAAACTAGCAACAGCAGCAAAATGCGCCAGTCCCGCAACAGCGCAGAGTGAAGCTCAACCCACTGTTCCATCTCCTATAGTTCCACCATCCAGAAAGCAACGATCAATTGGGCCAGATTCTACCCCGACCGACCTTCTCAATACTACCCGTGCAGACCTGTCCGAGGCACAGCGATCCCGCTCAGAATTACAAGATCGCTTGAATCGAGTAAATACAGAAGTGGAAACACTTCGCAAGAAGAGTTCGCAAGAGGGTCGACGAATCAACGCCCTGGAAAGCGAGAGAGCACAACTAAAGCTACGATTAAAAGACAGAGATGCGGAGCTGAAAGGGAAGGCCAAGCTGCTCGAGGTAGGCTGTTTTGATTTCTATATAGGCTTTCCAATCGCGCAGGGGTGAGTGACGGAAAGTGGCTAACATGAATTATGTGTATTTCTGCAGGATTTCCAAGATGAACTGGCGACACTAAACCTTCAGCTTAATATGGCCGAAGAACGATCAACTCGACTGAAAAATGAGAACCAAGATCTGGTTGATCGTTGGATGGCCAGAATGGGCCAAGAAGCTGAGGCCATGAACGATGCATCGAAATATTCCTGACTAGTCCCACAGCTGGCAGGGCAACGTTGCTAGACGAGATTTGAGCACAGCTTTTGTAACATTTAGATATTGAATCGTGATAGTTAACCACTTAGATGGAATGTGAAAGTGCTAGATATATGATCATGCGGCTTACATCAAGGCTTGCTGATCCTTCCACTGAGTGCCTGAACAGCAAGTGCTGTACGAAGCCCGCGGTTCATGACACTCTTCCCTATATCCAGAAAGCTATATAAATAGCCAGAATCCCAACCACCATTGTCCCTCTGCAACCCCTTGAGTGCCTCAAAGCCCTAATAATTGTATGCCCCCATCGAGTTGCATACGATAAGCCTCATTGCCAGGGCAATGCTGTCACTGGGGATTCCGATCCGCTTCTGCACTTGTTCCTTCATTAGTGGCCTGGTCGATTCTATCAGATTTGGCTGGATGTTCTCGCTGATAAAGATAGAATGAAGTGCACATATTCACACTTACGATGAGCTAGATGGGGCCAGGCAGTGCAGGAACTTATGTCTTATCACTCTAGTGACTGTACCTAGATATAACGATCATTATACTGGTGCGGTGAATGTAACGAGCTTCGTATCTAGGAAAGTTCGCTATAACCTCTTTTTACTATTGTTGTAAAGCGGGGTTGTTTATCTTGATCCATAGTAATAATTATTTATCCAATTATATTGTATCGATTATTTTAAGTTCAGTGTCCTGCCAATCATAGATGTGTATGATATCGCTTGTTAATGAGGCCCCATAATATATCAGTGGAGGTACTCCTTTGGAACTCTATTCTCTACTCGCCTCTTTGGGCTTTCCTTATATTCTTGCTAGTTCATTTGGACAATCTCACAGTCTTCTACCCCAATACAGTGCATCTTGATAAACTCAACCGCACTGTCACCATATTTTATCTGTGTGTAGTGATGAGTCCTTCGGATGCCCGCCCACGACGGTCAAGGCTGGATAGACCCTGTGACTCCTGTATGTTCCACCTCCAAGGTTTCTATAACCAGTTTATTGACCTCTAGCAGGTCGGAGGGTCAAGCAAAGATGCTTTATTACAGTCCGTGGCCATCCATGCTTAGGATGCGCCGCTCGCAATCAGCTATGCACTTTTTTAGCCCCGCCAAGGTCGCGCAATAAACGGCCAAATGAGAATTCCAACGGTGCACATGCCAATGCCTCTGCTTCGAGCTCTGTAAACACACATGTGGGTTCATTATCAGAGCCCACTACTCATATAGACGTGAGTGTTAGCCCTGCAGTGGCGAATGACGCAGTCTTTGACTCGTGTGGCTTGAAGGCAACCGCTTTGCCGACAGAGTCAGTAGAAGAATCCCCTCTGCCATCCTGGCTGTCCTTTATTTGGAACGAGTGTGACGCAATCGAAGATCCGGGCCTTCCTGTACATGCTCCTCGTTGGACTTATATGGTTATTGTGTTGTTCAGCTAACGAGGCCTTCACAGATCGTGCACCCCGAATCTCTGGAATGGTATGACGATGGAGAGAAAGAGTCCCATTTTCTTTCGCTGGATGCTTTCTCAGATCTCACTCTGCAGGACGTGGCTGAGGTAACCGGGTCTGGCACTACGGGTCACCTCGCCTTTCGTCAAGTTTCCTCAGACCCCCGCTTTCCAGTCTATTTTGTCAAACAGCGGCCCCTACTATATGGCCACATGCCGACAACCAGTCGAATGGCTTTTGACGCTGTGCGCGATGAATGCTCATCTGCGGGACCGAGTATTTTCATGCAAGCTATCTCGAAGTAAGTGTTTGGATAGTCAGCAACACTACGAGTGAAGCTGTATTTTCTGACGAGTCAATAAGTTTGCAACGAAATACCCTCCCTGTTATTCCCATAATTAACAGCATGCGCCTCGAAGCCGCTTGTACTGGCAGCAGCTCAGTTGGCCCACTCCCCCATGGTCTGCTAGCGTGCGCTGTTGGTCACTCCATTCCCAATAGCCCCGATCTTCAACCGCATCTTCAAAAAATCTGGACGCATGTTATCAACGGCCTTGAGGACGAGTTCCGCACTCCGCGGCTTGCCACTCTGCAAGTCGCTATCCTGGCTATTGCGTCACGGCCTTGCGAAAACATTGGACAAAGGGATGTGTTGGTGTCAAAGTCAGTGGCAGTTGCGTATCTTCTCGGGCTACACATGGACCCTGCCCGGTGGGAACTGCCAATATGGGAAAGATCTCTCCGGAAACGCCTATGGTGGACGCTTTTTATCTTTGATAAGTGGCGTGCACTCGTCTACGGCAGACCAAGCTTGTAAGCGCGTTAACTAGACTGTGAATTTGCCTGGCTAACAGTGATAGTATCCACTCGACTGAGTGGCATGTATCCATACCTAAAGTTGAGGACTGCGACTGGGGTCGATATGCTGCACCCGAGTTGATCGTATCCTTCAAGGCATTTATTTACATGTGCCGTATGACGCAAATCGTTGAGTGAGTCTAATAATTTGAACCCTGAAGGAAGTCATACTTCTGACCTGTCATAGCTCGGTTGTGCAGTCATTTATGTCTGTCAAGAGTCTTCTAGATCCACCTGCTCCCTTCGTTAAGGTGGCCTTATTGGAAGATGTCAACATGAAACTTGCAACCGTTGAGGAAGAGATGCCAGAAAGTTTCAAGTGGAATGGAACTGCCGCCGAAGGAAGTACTATGCCCACAGGCGTTCGTAAGTATTTAGCCCCGATGTAAAAGGACAAATTAATTCTAATTTGGTTTCAAGGATCCGCACAGTTATCTATGCTAGGACTGCGAATCATTGTATATCGGCTTCATCTCAATGTGGCATACCGCAACATACCGCTACAGTACAACTCAGTTGCGCATATTGCCAACGACATCTGCAAAGATATGGCGGATTTTCTTGACATCCTGACTGGCCCTGACCTTCAGTTGTTTTGGTTCCCTTGTAAGCCTGTCACTCCCAAGTTACCCTAAACCCTATAGCCTAACCGCAATTTGCAGATACTGCGGACCATATATCCAACTGTGGCTCTCTGCTTTTACGGATAGCCATACGCGGTAAGGCGACACACACTACAGAGGGAATTACTGCGGAACAGCTGGTTCGACGCCTAGTAGACCGCCTGATTGAGCTATATGAGACCCATCAATGGGACATTGCCGAAGCGGCGCTGCGCCGACTTGACCCACCTCTGCTAGCTGCTAGAAAGACACTCGACAGTGCTGATATAATCCATCGAAAAATTGCTAGCACGATGTCCTGGAACTCTTCAGGCGCGTTTCCGCAGTCGCCTCACGCTGAAGCAGGTCACCCTGGCGAGGAGCCCGGAAACACAGACTTATCATTCTCTATGGGGCTCAATAACGGTCTTGGATCATCTTGGGCCCCGGAAAGCGTAATATGGGAATTCCCAGGCTGGGGATCGGACGAGGGTATACCGGGTGGCCACCCCGTCTGACAAGGAGGTCATTATTTGCATTTGATATTTATATATAGTTTGGACGATATAGCCCATAGCCCTACATTGTAAAACATTATCTAGGTTGTAGAATGGTTGTTTGCATGAAATCTTTTAGCTGGCATTCTTGTCCATATTGCTGTTAGTTTCTCGGGTGTATCTTCGAAACCACCTGAAGCCAGATGTACTGGTGGAGCTAGCTGTACAGAGGGACTTTGATACCACCGATAATATCATACTCCACGCCACCCGTACCGGCAGCCGTTTTCCACCCGGCAGTTTTTCCCGTGTTGGCAATCCGGGCGTGAGCGTAGTCTTTGCTGACTGGCTCCTTGCCTAGCTCGAAGATTCTTTTCGTGATGCCCGCTCTCTGAAGCACTGGCGATTCCAGCAAAGTGTTAGGCTAAAAATCCAAAAGTTAGAAACCAGTCTTAAAATAATTAAGTATGCAAATACTAACTCTCTCTTCGTCGTTAGGAACATTGAAGTAGAACACTCCCAGCCGAGTGCGGTTTCGCTGATCTTTGGGTGGGGCGTGGACGCGATGCTTGGCTGCTTTGTACAATCCACCAGTGTACCACTCCATGTAAGCACCGCAGTTGACCTTCATAGCCCAGTCAGCGATGTGTCTCGGAATGCTGTGATCGAGGGGTACTTACGACGAGACTACCGGGAATGTGCTTGATATACTTCCAATTGCCGGCATCATCCAGGGCTTGGAGGGAGGCCATGGGCTGAGAAAATAAGAGAGTCAGTGCTGTGGTATATTAGCAAGCTGGACATGATATATGGTAGTGAGAGTGTAGACGCACTGTTGAAGTCCTGGTGACCCTTGAGCCACACACCGCCGAGTTTGGCCTCCTCATCAGGACTAAACTCATCGTAGTACGCCATATCTGCGGTTGGGTCAGAATGATCTCGCGGACGGGCTGAGGCTTGATAGCGCATGGGTACTTACATCGGAACCACGATTCGTCATGAAGCTCGAACCTGTGTTTGTCGACGAAAGTTTCGCTCGGAAGCTCGAGCGATAAAGCAAATACTAGCATAAAGTCCAAAGGTAAGCTGCAACACGCTCAAGTTTTATGGGCGGCACTTACGACGATATAATTTGTACAGGACATCCTTGTGGACGGTGTCGCTGAATTTGCCGACTTCAGGTAGGAAATTCTCCATAGCCTTGGGAAATTCCTGAGACTTCATATCCCGATACCAGTTGAAGTGTTCGATTCGGTCTGTGACGTTGTGCTCAAATCTGTCGAATTATCCTTAGCATATGAATGGGCGCGTCTCGCGGATTAGTTGACTCACTCCCAGTACTTTCTCATTTTGAACCCTCGGTAGCGCCCGATTTCCTTAATAGGCGATAGTAGCTTAGTCTTCTCTTCGGTAGATGTTCGCTCAAACATAGTCTATTTGCAGGAACTCAGTATTGTTTGGCGCCTAACCTCAATGTTCATAACATACGTGGGCAATGTCGACTTGACGTTGAATTTCTTCCTCCGAAATTCCGTAGTTGACGAGAACCATGAAGCCAGCCGTAGTCATCGCATCGTGAACCTGCTTGGCGAGCGCTTGCCGGGCCTCGGGTCCTTGGTCGTACGTTGACATATCGATTATGCTGAGATCAGCCCATTCTAGGTCCTCATTTGATAAAGAAACAGGGTTGAAGTGCAGCATGTCACCATTGCCGACAGAAGAATTGGTTGCAATCGTCATTTTGAATCGATGGAAACATAGAACGAATGTATAGACCGTTCGAGGAAGGGTCGTTGTGGGCGGGTTTATATCACCATTGAGCCTCTGAAGGGTCAAATCATGCCACATTAGTCAAACCGGCCGTGGCCACAGAATGTATTCCATGATATCACCCTCCCGCGGCGAGAGCAGAGCGAGGGTGAAGGCGAACGACAAGGGCGCGGGCAAGCGCCGAGCATAACCCTAAGTTGGGCGCGGGCAAAACCACCTCGGGTAATCGCTTATCGCAACAAAGCAACGAACATCCTCTCGGGTACAAGACTATTACTCTATTGCCTGTATTAATAAATCATGCATCATCCCGTCTCATCATGAGTTGAACCCAGCCCCGCTCCATTTCGTTCAACACACGCAAACAAAAGCATCAGGACCACTAGCCCAAAGTTGAGGTTCTGGATGCTGCCCAGACCGACACACAGCTCGATGTCGCTGGTCAATACTTGGCCAAAATAGCACAACTACCTGATGCTGCCGATCTTCTAGTACCGTGGACACCAGAAGAGGAGAAGGCGGTTCGGAGGAAGGCAGACTGGATAGTTGTGCCACTGCTTACCGGAGCCCTCGTGTATGTCCCATTGGCCCTGATTATTTTGCCTGTATATCGGTGCTGACCTTGCCATTCTAGTCTCGGTGCCACCGACAAAGTTGCGATCAGTTCTGCTGCAGTATTAGGATTGCGTACCGACCTCCACCTCGTCGGCCAACAGTATTCGTGGTCCAGCTCGCTCGTCTTCTTTGGAAGTCTGCTTTCACTGTTTCCCGCACTACTCATGATACAGCGATACCAGAGTGGCAAGGTGCTCTCAATTAATGTCGCCGTGTGGGGCCTTATCGTGGCATGTATAGCAGCCACTCAGAGCTTTGGCGGGCTGGCTGCCTGTCGATTTATCCTAGGCATGTTTGAGGCCTTGACTTTCCCCGTAAGCATTCAAATGTCCCACTCGTGGGTTCTATGGTGCTATAATGGCGGCTAGCTGACATGCAAAGGCGCTGAACCTTATTGTTGGTTCCTGGTACACCCGTTAGGAGCAGGTTGTCCGTGTGGCAATTATCTTTAGCACCATGTCTTCGTTGATCAACGGTATATTCTCTTGTAACTCCCGAAATCTCCGAACTATGTGCTCTTAAAGCTGATGACTCTCTGAGACGCCTGCTCGTTCCTTTCCTCGTCGTCTGGCCTCAAGCCCTGGCAGCTGCAGTTCATCCTGCTTGGCGTGCTCACATTCAGCTGGGGCATGCTCATGTTTTTCTTCCTTCCCGACTCGCCCATATCCGCTCGCCTTTTATCTACTAGGCAGCGCACGATTGGGGTCCTTCGCCTACGTGAGGAACAGACAGGTGTTCAACTGAGTCGTTTTGTGAAGCCCTACTATGTAGGGCTCCGGTTTAATCAATCAGAGTGACAGGGTATATACAATACTACTGCAAAGGCGAATGCAACTAGTACTGCCTGTATTCAAACTGAACTCTGAGCTTCTAAACATGCTCCGAGTTCCACTAGTATAGTAGTGTGTATAGACCTCTGCATAGCCCATAAAGCCCATAGCCCAACCTATAGGATTTAACCGACTATGTAAGAGAGGAAAGATTAATAAAGAGACTAAAACCTTTATTACTTACTATATAAGATCGACTATATTATTAATATAGAAAATACTTCACTCTAAAATCTTAAGATTGATAAGATTAAAAAGATGCTTCTAAAAGAATACTATAATCTTATAGAAGTTTTCTTGAAAAAGAAGTCTAATAACTTACTATCTTATAGACCTAGAGTTAATTACGATATTATACTCGAGGCGGAAGTATAATCTAGATACTATCCTCTTTTATATATTTGTTACGATATAACCAGACATGAGGCCATTCCCAGATTGGTGCCTCATGCCTACAGGAGGTTTGACCTCTCCGGAGGGGAATCGCCCGTGTTTCCCTATCTTTCCGAGAAGGGTTCCCCGCAGGAACGGGACCCCGCTCCACGTGTCACATTTTCGTCAGCTATCAATATAGGGAGACTGTATATAAATTGGACCACATGGAGGAGGCCTAACGGCTCCTCAAGAAACAGTCTTTGACTTTCCTATCTTGTTACCTTCTTCTACCTGATTGACAGGCACCTACCCTGACTTGTAGAGTATCTCTTTACAATATTACTAATCCTAATAGCGAAGAAGCTAGATGGAAGGTTATATTTCTATATTAACTTCTAAAGACTAAATACAATTATAAAGACTACTACTCTCTACCCTTAATTAAAGGTGCTATAATAAATAAATAAAGCTAAGATTTATATAAAGCTCGATATCTATTAAGGTTTCTATCGGATTTATTTAATGCTAGGAGGAAAGGATCTTACTACCTTCTATATAAGATATAGATCTTTTAAGTAAAGGAAGCTAACTATTAAAGTTAAGAATTAGACGAATTCTATTAGATAGTATAGACTAAAGATAATCCTCGATAGATATTATAAGAAAAATATAGGCTTTAAGAACTAGGGGATATGTCAAATACTAAGTCCGAATATATAGTAGAAACTAGGTATTATGCTGACTCGTTGAAACCGACCAGCCATTGGCCCCACCAACGCGTCTTGAGTCCTTGAAACCGAGACAAAAAACCGGGCAATCTTTTGCTCAGATATTATGTGGTGCAGATCAAAAACAAAAACGCAAATGTCGAGAATAATCCACGTACGATTTGTCTGAAGAATGAAATTGACCACTTTCTCTTGCCGATCCTAATACCGATGAGTACGATAGGTAACTAAACGCTAAAGCAATTCCATACAAACCCTACTCCAAGCTTTTTCTGATTCCATCTGCTGCATGTTTAGCGAGCACGCCCAATGTCCCTTTACCCATCATTTCTAAGACACTGATATCAAACCGAAAGGTCTGTTTCCACCACATACGCATCTCGATGGCGACCAACGAGTCCATGCCAAGATCTGCAAGGCCCAGGTTTGTGTTGACCTCTTCGTCGGCCTTGGATAGAAGACTCAGGACCTTCAAGCCGATCTCGCGAGCGAGTGTTTCAACTGCCTCTGGTGTCTCCAAGGTACTGGGGTCTCCGCGCGCGGAAGCCAAGAACCCCTTCAACCCATCACTGCCAGATGCTTCACCTGCAGACCCAGCATCCTTGCGGTTATGATAAGCCGCCATACGTGGATCATTGCGCCACACTAGGCGGTTCTTGTCACTATCAAGTGAAAGTGTCGAATCGAATCCAAGGAGGAATGCAGATCGGGTCATCGTGGATGGAGGAGCTGTTGCCACAACCAAACCGTCGAGGACTTCCTTTCCACCAATACAGTAGAATCCAGTACTCTTTAGCTGTCTCAGCAGATGATCCTTCTTAGAGAAAACACCAACGCCGTCAATGGGCCCGAAGTCAATGACTGATGCAGCCAGACCCTGCTGTTGACGGTAGTTGCAGAATGCATTGAGGAAGGTATTTGCTGCAGCATAATTGGCCTGACCCGGCTGACCAATCACTCCCGAGATTGAACTGAACAAAGTGAAGAAATCCAGGGCAATCCCTGCTGCAAGTGTCGCATTGTGCAAGTTCCAGGTTCCAATGGTCTTGGGTTTTGTTGTCACTTCCCAATCTTCCCAACTCATCTTGGAGAATGCAACATCTCGTAGAACCATAGACATCTGCAATATGCCTTTGAGAGGAGCAATTGCTGTCTTGATTGCGCGGTCCACAACTTCTGGATCTGATACGCTGCCCTGGATCAGCTGTACTTCACAGCCCATTGTGACGAGTTCATTCACAAATCCTTGATTATCGGGTCCTTTACCCGCACTCCGCGACAGGAATATCAAGTTCCTTGCACCGTGCTCCACCATCCATGTTGAAACGCATCGCCCAAGACCACCGAGACCTCCAATTAAAAGATAAGACGCAGAAGAGTCGAATTGAGGAGTTATGGATCCCCTAACAGCATTTTCGACAACAAATCCAGTTCCATCGGATTTGCGCAATTCAACAACAACGTTACTCGCTGGAGAACCCTGCAGCTCAGAAAACGCGGTCTGGATATGGGATACATCGAAAACCTTTGTCGGTTGAATGAGGCGAATCGTGCCGTTGGCGAGCAACTTCAACGTATCGGTGAGCAGCCTTTCTGCGATTAGCATTGCTTTAACTCTTGATTATGATTATACACATCACAGAAACTCACTCCTTTATGAGTTCCGGTTTACTCGCTTGAATACGGCCCATGTCAACAAGAGAGTAGCTGCGATTTGGTCGGACAGCAGTGATGTCTCGCTTCTCGTTGATATCCGACTTTTCAGTCTCAATAACAATTCCAAACTCTGCAACACAGACCCAGGAGGCATTGCTCAGCTCTCCAGGAAGAGAGTTGAGCACAACGTCCACCCCTGAAGCATTTATCGATTCTAACACTGATTCTGGGAATTTGGGATCAGATGTGAGATATATATGGCTTCGCGGAACATGGAAATTCTGGACCAGGTGAGCTGCTTCCTCCTCATCATCGGCAGTTGCGAAAACAGTAGCCTCTAAGAATTGCGCAATCTGGATGGTAGCAATTCCTATGCGGGTGGCCCCACGCTGGATCAAAATTGACTATAATGACATGTTAGCTTCAACGTGCATTGTGGGTAGTTGGTACATACCTGGCCTTTCGTCAAACGTGCGACATGGCTCAAGGCATAGATTGCAGTAGTGTAGACGAGCGATAGGTAGGCAGCATCATTGAAGGTAAGACCCTCGGAAAGCCGCACGCAAAGTGCCTCCGATTGGACAATAACAGATGCAAGAGTTCCTTGTCCCAAAGCCATGACGCGATCATGAACCTTGAGATCCTTCACACCATGACCCACCCGGCGGATTATACCTGCTACTTCCTGTCCGAAAGCGAGATCAGAGACCTCTGTGGATCCGGTTGCGATAGAGATATCCTGATCATCATGTCAGCGTGGTCAATTCAGCGTATCATGCGCATGAAACTTACTCGGTGATTTAATCCCACTGAGTAAACCTCGATCTCGACATCATCACTCCCCAATAGAGTAGCCGGGCGGTATTCCCAATGTATATCTGACAGCCGGCCAGGCTTACTTGTAGTCAAGGCAAGATGATCATCTTCGGATGGCCTGACTAGGTCTCCTCCAAGGGAGAATGGATGGATCCGAGGAACACTTACTTCTCCTTCATGAATGGCATACTCCATATCAGCATGGAGAGATGTGGACTCCGCTCGAGTTTGGAATCGCTCAAAGACATCAAGAGCAGTATTGTCGAAAGTAGCCGTCTCACAAACGGCGAAGTCAATTCCAAACTCGGAGCGCATAGTTCGAGCGAAACCTAGGGTCTGGGCATATTGTGGGTTTTCGGATGTAGGAGGGATGATCCAGAAGATTCCAACATCGCTCACAGAGCAAATGAAGTCCTTCAGACGAGCGAATACATTCGCCGATAAACCCTCAAAGAAAGAGGCCCCCTGATCCAGAAGTGAAATGATATCGTTGCCAGTGGGTGGAGTGTCATCAAGTGTGCAGAAGGTGACTTCAAAATTGCGCTTCTTAAGTTCCTCAACAACTGAGTCAGAGCAACTTGTTTTACTTGGGCAGAGCAGGGTAACCTTTTTGGGCGGGCCCATGTACCCCCTTGGTTGGGCAACAAAAGCTGCACTGAGCTGGAACGGCTCATCTGCATCATGAATTGCTTTCACATTATCAAAGCCTGCCTGTGCTAGCTTTTGCTCCCATTCCCCTACATCCAAGAAGTCACGCGGGCGCTCATCTGCCGCTGCCGACCACCATATGGGCGACAGGCCAAGAATGTAGGTCATCCACTTGGTTGAAGGACACAATTCCTGAAGCAAGAGTCTTCCTCCCTCTGAAGTCAGAGCACGCAAGTTTCCCAGGCTGCGTGAATGGCTCTCTGTGAGATGAACCGCGTTTGTGGCAATAATAAGGTCGTACTGTCGGTCTGCAAACCCTTGCTCTTCCAGATCCTTTCCAATGTCCAGAACAGAAAATTCCAGCTTGGATACGCCCTTGAACTGCTCTTTGGCCGCTTGAAAGTGGACCGATGACACATTGGAGAATGTGTATTTGGAAAACGATGATCCTAATGCCTCCAATATTTTGGATGTAGATGTGCCTTTACCGGCTCCTAATTCAAGAACCCGTAAGTTGGGACGAGTATGAGCAATGATAGTAACGAGGGGAGAGATGTCAAATGTTTCGATGAATGCATAGAGCTGATCGTGGGTATTGCCATCGTTTATGATGTCCAAGGCATCTCCTTTGCCTGTAAATATGCCTTCCAGTATATTGTTTGCATTGAAAAGGGCAGAGGCCGCAGGCGCAGCTGGGGTTTGTGAGAGATGTTCGACCCGGCGCTCAATTCTTTCACGAAGGCCCCGGCTACGCAGAGTCTGCCAGGTTGGTGAAGAAAGCCCCGTTGAGTTTGCCTGTGACTCGATCCAAGCCCGGTACTTGAGCAAGTGAGGGGCCGTCGGCTTCAGAGATGAGATAGAAATCCACGAGTGCAGGATGCAGAGCTGTGCCAGCTCATTGAGTGTTGACATGTACACAGCCTTGTCGAAAGATGGCTTGATTAACTTTGTAACGTCAACGAAGTCAATATGCGGTTGCCACGTTACATGAGCCGCGGCGTGCAATTCCTCTTTCCGAGGAGCCTCCAGAATGTTATGCTTAACTCCTGACATGCGTATAACGACTTGTTTTCCTGCCACACAGTACCCGTTCCCGCGTGTGGAGCCATTTTGTGTAAATGATCCCGTTCCAACGCCAGCAAGGGAATTCCCCGGGCTTCGCAAAACGTTGAGCTCACCCACTCCCGTCGCGACATTGTTTCGGTGCTTGAGGCCAATTCCGTACGCAGCAGCACATACCATCAGTTGCAAAGCGGCATCGATAGCAACAGGATGCTGATGGTACATTTTCTCGTCACCCTGAGTTTTGTTATAGATAGTCGCAGTCGAGCGGCCCGGGGCCCCGGTGGTTGAAGCTCGCATGTTATCAAGACATTGAAAGCGAGGCCCAAAGTCAAGGCCTGCACGACGCAGAACATCATACCAGCTCTGGGTGAGAATCTTGCGGGGAAGCTCTTCGATAATATCACAACAGCCCAAAGTATGTTGTAAAGCGGTAACTTCACCCTCACAGTGTCTTGTCCAAAAATGGCCGTTGTGAGAGCCGATAGTGAATTTCCACCAGTCACTATCAGCCTCGTCGCGTTGAAATGTGGTCACAATTTCTACAGGAGAATCTTCGGAAATAATGAGTGCCATGATGGCTTCAACGTTTCGAACAGTGAATCCCTCTTGGATACCGCTGGTTTGGCGTACTGCCTCTCCGGCCATTGCTACGTAGGCGGCGAAGGGAAAGACGATATCATTACTGACTTTGTGATCCCGCACCCACGGCACATTGTCGATTTGAAACACGTTGCGCCAAGTAGGTAGGAAACTAGCGCTTTCGGTGGACCGCACGCCTAGAAGGTCATGATAAGGATACTGACGTTGCCGCCACTCCTGGGTGACGCGGTTTTCGAACCAATAGCTCTTTTGGTGATTCCAGGGATATTGTGGTAAACCAGCAAGACAGATACCGTCGGGTACCATTGCCTTAAAGTCGATTGGAATATGTAGTGTGTATAGTTTGCCGATGGCTGACAGGAATGACTCTGTGCAGTTCCCCCCCGCAGAATCGTCGCGATATATGGGGCTTGGACTGACTTTTCTGTTAGAATCTGACGAACCGGACCAGCCAAAGCTGAATGTGGCCCAATTTCCAGGAAGACAGCGTTCTTCCCAACAGGATGATCTGCAATGCGAGAAACTGCACTGGAGAATAGAACTGGAGACTCCAAGTTCCGTTGCCAATACTTCGCGTCCAACTTCTCATTCTCTTCCAGTAGCTCCCCTGTGACACTAGAGAAGAATAACTTGGAAGCAGAGCGTCCGAACATCTTTGGTCCCACAAGACGGTAATATTCATCACCGACCTCGGCCATATGATACGAGTGGTACGCCTTTTCAACCTTCAGAAGACGTGCGAGAACATCTGGGCGTGCCTTTTGAATTGCGGCAACAACCTCCTCAACCTTATCAGCATCACCAGATAGAGTCACACTTCTGGGTGAATTTTCACAAGCGACATCGACAGTAGGAATCAAGAAGGGTTTGACATCAGCCCAACCCAATCCAATAGCTGCCATAGCTCCAGCCCGAGATTGCTTCTTGGCCACCACACCGCGATGGAAAGCAACTATAATTGCCTCCTGGGCTGTGAGGGCACCGGATGCATACGCTCCTGCAATCTCACCACTCGAATGACCGACAACTGCACTCGGAATTATGCCAATGGCCGCCAGACTGTCCACAAGAGCAATCTGAAGAGCAGTGCAAAGCGGCTGAGATAGTTCCGCGGTGGCCAATTTGCTGGTCTTGGCGGGTTTGCGCAACTCGGCTTCGATTGTCCAACTCGGCCCTTCCTCCCTGAGTGCTTTCAGGTGCTTATCAAGCTCTTGGATGGTGCTTTTGAAGACTTGGTTAGAGCGCAAGAGAGCTCGCCCCATCTGTGGCCACTGGGCGCCTTGTCCCGTGAAAACCATTACCACGTTGGATGAGTTAATAGGCTTCATCAGTGGGGATGGTGCTCCAGGTTTCTCCCTGCTAGACACCACAAAGGCTCGGTGTGAATGATGCTGGCGTCGATTGGCCAGAGTGAAAGCGAGGTCTTCAATACGCTCGGGGTAGCGGCCGAGGTATGTAGTATATTTCTCTATACTTCTTTGCAGTGACTCGGGGGAGGTTGCTGAGTATACAAGTAACTGTGGGTTGTCAGAGGCTTCTTCAAACTGGGCCGATGCACGATGGCTCGCCGCCGAGTCCAAAATGACGTGGGCATTGTTTCCGCCAATACCAAATGAGTTAACAGAGATCCGCTCTTTCGATAAAGTTGGCCATGGAGTTGGCTCCACAGGAACCGTTAATTTAGCCGATTCGAATGGGATATTTTTATTCGGCATACCAAGCTTGATGTTAGGAGGAATTGTGCGATTTTCAAGTGCAAGAACTGCCTTGATAACGGAGGTGAGACCAGATGCGCCCTCAGAGTGGCCTAGGTTAGGCTTGACAGAACCAATATAAGTTCCAGAATTGCCAAAAACCTTAGCAACCGCTTTGGTTTCGACTGGGTCACCGACCAATGTTCCAGTCCCGTGGCATTCGACAAAGGCAGTTTCAGAAAAGTCTGAGATGCCCGCAATCTTGTACGCGTGCCTTATCAAGGCTTCTTGCGCTTCCGAGCTTGGATATGTCATTCCAGGCGTTTTTCCGTCATGGTTTGTGGCCGTGGCTCTAATGACAGCTCTGACAGGATTTCCGTCCCTTAGAGCATCCGCCAGAGGTTTGATATACAGACCATTAACAGCCTCCCCGCGACCATATCCATTGGCATCGGATGAGAAGGTCTTACATGACCCATCGGCGGATAGCACACCCTGCTCCGACAGCTTGATAGTCATACTTGGTGTCAATATCAAGCTGGTTCCTCCAACAATCGCAGATGAGCAGTCGCCTCGTGCTATTGCTAGACATGCTTCATTCAAACTAACCAGTGAGGACGAGCATGCGGTTCGGATTGTCATACTTCAAGTCATTAGCCTATGATATGTGCATTTTAGGTTTCACGGGAACATACCTAGGTCCCTGCAAATCCATTTCATAGGAGATGCGATTTGAAAGCGCAAAATCGCCCGACCCTGCAAGGCGATACACTCCGTATTGCTGGTCATCGCGATCCATCATCTCATTCCAGTCCTCGCCAAAATTCCCCACATAGACACCAATACGGCGCCCTTTCCATTCAGTCTCCCCAGCATCTTCAATGCATTCGCGTGCCACTTCCAGCATCAAACGTTGTTGAGGATCGCATCGAGCAAGCTCCATGGGAGACATTGTGAAAGATGAGCTGTCGAACAACCCAAGATTATTTTTCAGGAAGTATCCGTACTCTGTCTTGACAGTCCCTGGTTTATCGACTGGTGAGTAGTAGGCGTCGATATTATATCGTGATGCCGGGATCCGTGAGCGAGCATCGCCTTTGCTCATGAGAAAATCCCACAGTTCCTGAGGGGATTCAATGCCCCCGGGCAGCCTGCAGGACATTCCACAGATGGCAATGGGCTTGAAAGTATCGGTTTCCTGGTGTTCGAAATGGCCGTTGCTGATGGAGCAATTGGATCCGTTGGTCCTGTTTACCTCAAGGAAATTTTCGTAGATACCATCGCCATTTGGAGAGTTTCCATTAGGCTGATTGGGCTCGCCCAAGATTTGCACTGTCATGACTATCGTGAACCAAGGAGAGACGGGCTTAACAGATGGCACATATATCAAGAGGGAAGTCCCAGATATTCGGATTTTGGGTTTGACATTAGGAGTCGTCCATTGAATATATATATTTTCTACTATGAACTTTCCCAATATTATCCAATATTCTATTACGTGTAATCATAAATATGGCATTCATACCTAGGTAGACTTACCACCGATATCAAATCTCATAGTGCCAGCTAACCCGAGTTGAAGTCACATATACGAAAGACATTATTGCGTTTACCAGGCGTGAACCGTGCAGGGCTCCACTTCCTTGCAGATTGTGGACGGGCTCCGTTGGCCGCGGCAACGTCAGAACGTGGGTGGCCCCACTTGTTTCTAGCACCCTACTACTCCCAGTAGACGACTTTGCTTTCACCCTGTTTCGCAGGCTTGTCGCTACCCCTGCTGCCTCCGTTGCAGGGGCCCCTCTTTAGTATGTACATACATGTCAGAGTGTATGTAACCTCGGGTCCCGCTGCCCGTACGGGTTCCGTGTCCTATCTATTTTATTTTAGGGAAATAAAACATTGGCAAATGAAGATTCATCATAACAATGGGAAATGATTGGCCTAGGAACCTTGCAATTCGCAATTCGCGCAGGAGTGTGAGATGCGGATTGCATATACGAGAACACATTCAAATCAGCCTTAAAAAGGCGCCACAAGGCACACAATTTGCTCTGCATACGCTATGAGAATAGATGATGTTTTCGGATCATCGATTGAGTTTTATTTGCTGGTTATTTTTGGGATCCAGGGATGAAGAGACCGAAGAGAACCCTAGAGGTCTACCAAGTCATACGTAATAAAATACAAATCATCAAACTGTAATATCCGGAAGCAAGAGTCCTCGAAGATAAGAAAAGAAACGCGCCTCTAATGTTCAGATCTTGATAGTAAGTCCTCGCAAACAGTCAAAAAAACTCCCGGGTCTTTATATCTACTGCAAAAATGGCAAACCCTACACTCCTTGCGAATTGGTTCCCAAACCATACAGCCAAGGCTCCCTCCTTGCGCAATGCTCCCAGATTCTACCGCAACTTGGAAGAGGCGCTCGACCTACGTCGCGCCGAGCGCAGCGTCTTCATGGTCCGAAGCAACGAGCCCGCTCCAGGAAGCATTGACTTCAGCACTCTAGACTTTCTCCATCTCACTGCTAGCGGACTCATTCGCGAGGCTTTCCTCCAAGAGCTAGCGGAGAACCCAAACTTTGAACTTGGTGCCGGTGGCTCGCGTCTCTTGAACGGGAACAACGCATACATTGAAAATGCGGAGGCTACAATTGCGGAATTCCATAGCGGTGAGAGTGCTCTGCTTTTCCACTCGGGCTTTGAGGCCAATACAGCCATCATGGCCGCCATTCCGCGACCAGGCGATGCTATCGTTTTTGACGCGTTGTGCCACGCTAGTATGCATGAGGGCATGCTCGCAAGCAAAGCATTGTGTAAGGAATCGTTCAGGCACAATGATGTCGAAGACTTCCGTGAAGTCTTATCGCATGTTCTCAACACCGAGCCACTCATCAAGGAGGGCAAGCGGTCTGTGCTGATCTGCCTGGAGTCGATGTATAGCATGGATGGCGACGTTGCGCCTCTACGGGAGCTTGTCGATGTTGCCAAAGAGCTCTTCCCTGATGGAAATGCCCAATTTTTGGTTGATGAAGCGCATACCACGGGTGTTTTTGGGCGTCAGGGACGAGGCTTTGTAAGTGAGCTGGGCCTTGAAAATGAAATTGCAATCCGTATGCATACTTATGGAAAGGCATTAGCTACAACAGGAGGTCTGTTACTGCTTTCAAGAATACTTAAGTGCTTCGTACTTTAGCTAACATTTTCGATCCAGCTGTTGTGGTTTCCAATCGCACCATTCGTGAGATACTGATTAACAATGCTCGCTGCTTCATCTATTCGACTGCACCTTCTTTTCCCATGGTTGCTGCTATCACTGCCGGGTACAAGCTTATGAACAGTGGCCAGACGCAGCCGGTATGTGTGGTCTTCCCGAAATAACATCTAAAGTATTCTAATAGTCACCATAGTTGCAAGACAATATCCAACATCTGGTGAAATACTTCTTTGAAACCATCACAGAAAATCCAGTCTGGGACGAGGCGAACGAAGAGGGTATTCTCTCTATTCCACTTGCTGAGGACTGGGAGTCTCGCCCATTCCTCACGCAGGTGGTTCCAGTAATGACCCGTCAGCGGTATACCCTCTGGCTGTGCTATCACATGCAGCTGGCCGGCATTTGTGCCTTTCCTATCGACTACCCTGTGGTTCCTAAAGGGCAAGGCCGTCTGCGTGTCGTATTTCATGCCACTAATACCAAAGAGGAAGTGGAGAAGCTTGCAGAGACAATTTGTGAATGGGCACAAGAGATGCTTGATATCGAAGCCAGTGGTAAAGGTAGTGGTAAAATACCCACAGCTGCACGGCGGGTGCAAGCTCAGCAGGCCGCAGCGGAAGCGAATGGAAATGGCGTATGAACCTAGAAAGACATCGCGACTTTTACGAATATCTGAAAGGATTATTCTTCAGTGAAGACCATGCTGCTTGTTAAACAAATGGAATTGCAAAGCGCAACCCTTGAATTCATTGCTTGAACATAATTCCCGTTCTACGTTGAAGAGGTTTCTCAAGACAAGGTGAATATCGCCCTTGGACTTAACTATTAATCCACCAAGACCCGTAGAACCTTTGTGGTGGTCAATGTATTTTGTATCCGTGTCACGCGGTTTCATACCAACTTCTCTAAAAAAGACCTGTATAGTAGTTTGCTTGCTCTCCAGCTCCAGGAGCCAATGGGCATTGGTTCATGTCTGTAAGCACTGACTGGACGTGTGCCAGTTCAAGAGGGAGACATGATACCTCGTGGGACCGTGTATAGATATCTTGTTGCTGCTGCTCAACTGGGGTAAAAGCACCCAATTTACCGCCATATAGGTCCGAAGAGTTCCCTGGTTCCGTCCCCTGATGCTTTAATGGGGTCTCAAAGTTCCACCGCGTATGTTCCTGTCCAAGTATATTATTTCCATATCCGTTCAACTCCGCTTTCTTGCAATCCGAGGGTCCAGAGTTGCTATCGGCGTCGAAGATGGCCAGTGCTTTTGCGGGAATACGGGGAACATGCAGCGAGCCATACATTGTGGCTACAAGGGTTTCCAAGGTTTCAACTCGGTTGCGTAGGTCGGTAATCTCATTCGATCTAGAGAGCATTTAGAATATTGCTCGGGATCACGGGTTTGATACCAGCACCCCGGCATGTAGTTCTGATCAACAACTCACAGTTTCTTCGTCTGATTAGGTTTCTTTCCTTTTTCTGACCATTCACATCGATATCCTAGCCTGGCACAGTTAAAACACTGTGGGCGTTCCCGGCTGCAGCGTATCTTTTTGTGTCTACATTGGCAGCAGGCTAAAGACCCCACGTAAGTTTGAAATCTCTCTGTACAGAATAAACTGCAGAAGGTACATATATACCCCCAGACTTACCAGCATGATCATTGAGGCCCATTTCGGGAACAATTGTGTAGATTCGATCTTGAAAGTATCTTAGTTAGCTATCGAAAGACGCTGAGGCCAAAAAAGCATAAGATAACCACACGCCATACTGTGCTGTGAAATCGCCAGCAGATTCTCGGCGGCAAATCGAATTACTATGGTACTTTTTTCTCCGAGGGCCAGAATTACTATAGATTAAAACTCAATCATGGACAGAAAAGTTCTCATTGGATGCTTTCGAACCAATGAACAAGGCATCGGAGGTAGTCGATGTACAACTTATGAATTTTAGCGTATAAATTAGCGTAGTATTTAATATGGTATTTTACAAAGTCGTACTACATTTTTTCTTTAAAAAACAGGGTTCTCAAACTCTCAACTTTTAATTTCTTACTATTACAACATATACAACATATCTTTCTCAACTCTCAATTTCATTTCTTACTATTATACAACAATATCTAGTAAGTAGTAGGCCCCCATTTAGCTTTAATAACCGCCAGGCACCGGCTAGGCATACTCTCAATAAGAATATTCAAGAAATCCTCTGGCACAGCATCCCAAGCTTCGTCGATCTTCCGAATTTCCCGGAAGTCAGTCGGTCCCCTTACGCCACCCGCTTAAACTCTTGTTTCTTTGTCTGGACCCCCTTCTGGCGGCTTAACAGTGAGATAACGCGTACATAACGACAAGGATTATATCGCGCCATTTCTTTCAATCTTATCACATAAATTAAATTGGTGAATGTAACAACGGGAGATACCCCTGGAGCTCGATTACCAATCTACCTCATTACTAATCACTTCAAACAGCCCTTGGCTATGTGCATATTTGTAGCCATTTTGCTCCTCTAAGGGAGAAATTCGAGTATCAATCTTCGATTTATTCCAAAATACCCAAAGAATGTCTTCACCAATACAAACCGCACCACCAAACACGAAAGAATGTTCCGACCAGTCATTAGGAGATCTCAAAACTCCGTCTCAGTCCCAGTGTCAAGCACAATCTCAAACCCAATCTGAATGCGACTGTACGGAGAAAAAAGATGTATCAAATATCTTAGCACCAACCGACCCCGAAACAGGGCAACGGAGCCGGAAGCGAAAGCCTCTGTCATTCTATCTTGCATTTATAGCTTTGCTATTAATGGTATTCTTGGTGTCCCTGGATGCCACTACGTTGGCCGTTGCAATCCCGGTAATTCAATAACCAGTCCTTCAATTCAAACGATCATTGAGTTCACCTAACCCTTCCTCTCTATAGGCCATCACCGATGAACTTTCCGGCACGACTTTGACCGCGTTTTGGGCCAACATCTCCTTTACAGTAGCAGTCGTGGTTATCCAGCCTATTTATACCAGTTTCTCAGACATCTACGGCCGTAAGACTCCTCTTTATACGGCTTTTACCCTTTTCGGTACTGGATCGATTGTCTTTGCCGTCGCGAAAAACATGGCAGTTCTGATTGTAGGACGTGTTCTGCAAGGACTAGGCGGAGGCGGACTTGACGTCCTAAGTGAGGTTATTATCGCCGATATCACTACTCTGCAAGAGAGGGCTGTATATATTGGATTACTTTCGCTTCCAATGGCTACAGGGTGCATCGCGGGTCCCATTCTCGGTGCAGTCTTTAGTGAGTTTGTTACGTGGAGATGGATCGGCTGGATTAACCTACCTATAATTGGCATTGCCCTCTTTCTGGCTATTTTCTTTATGCGCCTGAGACCAATTGATCAGTCCCTTCAACCTAGCCGTATCGACTGGCTTGGAATGCTACTATTTACGGCCGGTTGTATTCTTTTCGCCCTACCGCTTAGTTGGGCAGGGAATATGTACCCTTGGGGGTCGTGGCGAACGATCGTTCCGCTAATCATTGGTGTTTTGATTTTGGTGGGATTTGCATTTTACGAGGGTTATCAGACTAACGCTGTCTTCCCCTACCGTATCTTTAGCTCGAGAACGGCACAAATGTCTCTACTTGGAAGCTTTATCCATGGCTTCGTGCTTTATACTCTTCTACAGTATCTTCCACTATTTTTCCAAGCGGTCTACCTCGAAGCACCGTTGAAATCTTCGATCTCGATCCTACCATTCTGCTGTGTGGTCTTTGTCTTTACGGGAATTGCTGCCTTCGCCGTTGACTTCTTTCGGAAATATATGTGGGAAATTTGGTCTGGATGGGTTTTCCTCGCTGTTGGCTGTGGTCTCTTCTCACTATGGGACCAATCTTCCTCGGTAGCTATAACTACTAGTTTCCAGGTGATTGCGGGGATTGGTATTGGCACAATCTTCAGCGTCCCTCCTATCCCAATGCAAGCCAGTGCTACACCCGATGACCAGGGTCTCGCAATGGGAATAATGGTCGCATTCAGGCTATTCGGTGCCCTTATTGGTCTTGCAGTTGGTGCCACTACATTTAGCAGTGTCCTCGCCAATAGGATTAGCGGCATCGATTTACCTACTTCTTTGGAATTATTGAAAGACCCTAGTGAGGCTGTGAGCTTTATTCCCTATTTGCGAACAGCCGACATCTCTCCTGATCTACGGGACCTCATTCGAGATGCATACAAGGACGCCATGCAGACAGTCTGGTATGAACTGGCAGCTTTTGGAGTACTGGGTTTCTTGAGCTCTCTATTCGTGGAGGAATTGACTATGGAGACGGAAGAGTTGGGTCGACAGCATTTCGAGCATGAGTCAGACTGAATTGAAATCCACCTTTGGAAGGTTAGGTGGTCAAGCGGATGAAACCGAGGCGGTTTTTAAACCCTTGCCGGCTAACATCTCCCCAGAGGACTTAGAGTTCTTACAATTTCGTGGTGCCCTCTCAATTCCAGAGAGTGGATTTTGGGATGAGCTTCTTCGCTGCTATATCCGATGGGTGAGATGTGGAAACGGGTGCGAAGGTGCATAGCGGCCAGGGGTCTGATGCCTGATTTTCTAGGGCCTGTTTTTAGACTGGCAGAAATTAGAATACCTAAATTACCATAACAGAGACTGAATACATCCCGAAATTCTCACACCCAGATCCTGGCGCGTACTTTTCACTGTTGTGGAGCGGTACCGTTTTATTTGACGCCCGGTAAAGATGAGTGGATACCTCCAAAGTTGGTTGCTCTTTGGGAATCATCTCCCGGAAGAGGACTATTTCGATCGACCCTTGGCGCGTGTCTTCGGGCAACCTCGAACATGAACCTATTATCTACGCGAGGCTTGTGTCCCAACCTTGTCACGATTGTTTTAACATGAGTGAAATTCAGCTTCAGAGCTAGCTGTACCATGAGGAATTTGATCTCATCCCCATTTCGGCCTTTCCAGACGTGTTTATTGCTTTCTCGTCTTCATTCCACTTCCAGCAAAGCCAGACAAACTCAGCATTACCAAAATCAAATTCGCGGCTTTTTCTGCACGGCTGCTCTTATGTCTCACTCTCCCAAGGGTGATGATTCCTCGCATCACCTTTATGAGCCCATCGAAGGAGTGGAAAAACTGGAAAGCTATCGCATGGGAGGTTATCACTCCATGACAATCGGTGATCATATTCACAATCGCTATCAAGTGGTTCAAAAACTTGGTCACGGCACGTACTCGACAATCTGGCTGGCTCGAGATCAAAAAAATGGCAAATATGTCGCCATCAAAGTGTGTACCGCGGATTCGAACCCGCTTGAATTCAGCGTCCTTTCAGAACTTTCCAACTCGCAACAAAGCTCAAGCACTAGCATAGGAAAGACACTGATACCATCGGTACTAGACAGATTCAGGATTCAAGGATCGAATGGTACGCACCATTGTTACGTGACAATCCCGGCAAGGATGAGTCTCTCCGAGGCAAAAGATGCCTCATATAACCGCCTTTTCCAATTAGAGGTTGCTCGAGCCTTGGCGGCACAGCTAGTCCTTGCAGTTGAGTACGTCCACTCCCAGGGATTCGTTCACGGAGATCTCCATGCTGGAAATGTTCTCCTCCAGTTGCCATTTGACCTAAGCCAACTTTCTGTGGAGGGATTGTACAAAAAGTACGGAGAACCGGAATTTGAAGCAATAAGACGTTTTGATGGGCAACCGCTCCCACCGAATATCCCATCACGGGCCGTTTTACCAATCTGGCTTGGTGAGGCAAGTGACAAACTCAAACCCCCAGAAGCCAAAATCCTACTCAGCGATTTCGGTGAGGCCTTCTCCCCTACCAAGCAACAGAGGTTTGAGTCCCACACTCCGCTTGTTTCCCGACCACCAGAGGTTCAGTTCGAGCCACATAAGCCTATGTCATTCCCATCAGACATCTGGTCCCTCGGATGCTCTTTATGGAACACCATAGGTCAGAACTCACTTTTTGACGACATGTTTGCGACCGAAGATAGCATTACTTGCGAGCAAGTCGATGCACTTGGTATGCTGCCCCCGGAATGGTGGCACAAATGGGAGGGGCGACATAGTAGATTCACGGAAGATGGGAAGCCGATCAACCGGGTCCCTTACCGGTCGTGGGAGGACAGATTCGAACAAGATATGCAGGAGCCTCGACAGAGGAAAGGTATGCCGTGCATTGAACCGGCCGAAAGGGATGCTATTCTTAAGATGTTGAAGTCAATGCTTAAATTCAGGTCTGAAAATCGCTCTTCTGCGAAGCAGATCCTCGAATGTGAATGGATGGTCAATTGGGCTTTGCCCGAGTACGAGAAGATTCGAAGGATATGATTACAGCAAAGCTCTTCCGTTGCCTGAATCGTCTGGGTACTGGTTATATGAATAATCCAGGTACTGCCTCATATTACTACTATCATGAATCTCCTCTCAACTATCCTATTCCTCATATCACTGATTATCCTAAGTCACTTTTGGTTATATTTGTTGAAATTACCTCGGGATGTGGATCCTAGACCTCAAGATAGCCCACAAATGGGCCCAAGCCCCTAGCCCACAGCCCAACCCACAGCCCATTTATGGGGGCCCATGAGGCCCCCATCAAAGCCCATTTCTATGCATAAATATAGTCTTGGCACGTATAAAGTAGTTGATTAATAGCTGTATTTTACGTATGTACCAACCTGTATATTTAGTATTATTATATTATCATAGTAAGAAATTAAGTAAATATTATACTCATTTTAGTATTATGATACTAGATTTCATACAAAATCATCCCAAAAAGATCCAATTTGACCCGTGGTCCACGAATTCGTACCTAGGTGAGTATTAGCATGAAGAGATATATATATTATGATTGATCGGCCTAGGTAACTGAGTCAGAATCACTACCTTCTCTGTAGTAACGGTAATTTGAATACCTAAAAAAACCGGGAAAAAATGCATTAATTATGTAGCCACGATACATTGGTATGTTTTTATTGTTTGGTTCATAATGGGGGCCCATAGCCCATCGATGGGCCCGAGGTATAGGCCCAAAACCTAGCCCATTTGGTGGGTTGGGTTGGGTAGGGCTGTGGGCCGGGTGGGCTTTCTGGAGGTCTAATGGATCCTTATTTGCACCCGGTTGTGAGCACTGTGGGATTTCCCCCAGACTTCTGCGATAATCTCTTGTCCACCAGAAGCGCATCAATCACGAGTACGTGTGCGTCGCCATACACTGGAGATACTAAGTATCTCAATCGATAGGCTTTAGGTACTACGTCTCCAAAGTCCAAATCTCAGTAGCTTTCTTCTTGCTCATTGCATGCGTTTGATTTTTCTCCGTAGCGAAGGGTAGGCTAGTGCCCAGTATCTATATCTTGCGTCCGCTCAAAGGGCAAGATATCTCTCATACTCCCATGGGATACATTTACCAGGGTCTCACACTCCGTACGGACCATTCATTCTTCTCCACATCAACGGGAGCTGAATTGGAGAAGAATGTGAATAACGATGTATTTCATGCGTCTTGTAACTCGTACGATAATGAAGAATCAGACAGTGCAAGCGATGGGGAAGTCTTAAATGCGGACCAAATAGCGGAGGAAGAGAATTAATCAGGCGAGAACGACGAGTAGTCATGTCCTCTAAGCCATAGGGGGAATTAAATTGGAGACCAATGTATTTAGGCTTTCTGGGTAGTCCATGGTTACAAAATGGAAGTGGGGCGGGCACGATGTATTTACTTCAAGAGTTCAGGTGAATTCGGTGATAACCCGGTTATGCCAAATTAGGAGCGTCGTGTCTGTTCATGAAAATAAGTGGATACATCGAAACGTACAACCCGCGAGGCAAGAGTACCGCATATGGTCGTTGTTCCACGAATTGAACAAGCATATGAGATTCCCAATGGAGAAAAGCCATGCAATGTTCGTCTCCCGTGTGGCTTTTCTTTGGAGCTTCAGGAATTAGGAACCTAAGTCAGCTGCACCTCAATTTATTTCAACTGCTGCTTCGATTCCAGTAAGAGGTCTGTTCGATGCTGACATGTGCAAAGAGAGGCAGAGTTACCATTATTCATCTCTAGAGCCAAGGTAGGGGTAATGCGGCGACGCGTCGTACATATCTTTGGGCCATGGGATACATGATCTTTGTTGTAATATGGAGTTGATGTCGATAGGAACTAAGACCCGCCATCGGAATCAATTCCTGCATATTCTATACAAAGAACCGACTTGATCTTTTTGTACATGTAGCCTCAGTTATTCCCTCTGAATCAGACTTCCTTTGAACTACAACGGGCACAGTAAAGGAACCACGTATGTGATAATATTGGATTTATTTCTGACAGACAAGCGAACCTTATGTACATTGCTGCCTAATAATTAGATCAATCCAATTCCACTCGCCCAATGGACGTTAATTCACTCAGCCGTCTCTCCGTTCCTGTCGGCCTTTGATCATGACCGGGTAACTGGCAAAGTGTAGCCATTGTCTCCATCCGTGGCAGAGCCGTATAGTGGGAATCTTTATCTTCGTAAACAGAATTTGTAGCCAGTCGGTTGCTGACCTGGATTCTTGCTGGGGCTTTCCCATTCTCATTCTAATGGGCTTTTCGCCGAGTCAGGATGAATGCGCCCAATGTGACAGCTATAAGTAGGAAACCCAATGAAATACAAAGTCCAACTCCGAGGTAATCTAAATATATTACTCTTTATATTATAGCGGTAGTAGTAGGTAGATTCTATATAATAGACCTAATAGGGTTTATAAGTTTATTTTACTATCTAGTAATTCCTATTATATCTTCTTTAATACTCACCAAACCATCTTGATGAGCATTCCGGTTGGCATGATTAGTTGGCTTGGGGCCTTAATGTTGTCGTGGGTTGCAGTAAAGAGTAAGTTCCCTTATGGCATGTGCAGTTGAGCTTTTGGCTAATGGCCACAGCTCGTCAGGTGCTTGACGACAAGGAGCATGCATCATCCCCCTTCTGTCGACTGTGCTCCTGCACGTCATTCCTCGGGAAAACAGTGAGCCTACCTTCTCCCTTTGTGAACGGTTGAACGTAACTGATAGTCATTTGCAGAAAGCGCCAGCCTCGGGGTCCTATTTATGATGTATTTCTATTGGCCCAGTTACCTTCTCATGATGACGACCGCCATGGCGAACACAGCAGGATACACCAAGAAACTTCTAGTCTATGGCATCGGTTACTATGGCTATCTCGTTGGAGGCATCGTGTGAGTTGAAAGTTTTGAGTGCCGGTTTGGACGTTCACTTACGAGATGCGGCCACCAGGGGACCGCAAACCTTTATAGCAAACCAAGCACCCGCATACACTGGAGGGATCACGGCAATGCTCGCCTCCTACTGTATTGCGATATTTGTAGGTCTTAGATTTCATTCAATTTTTCTGGTTGGTAATTGACTGATATCCATGTTAGCTCATTTCAATCTACATGGTTAACAGTATCCCACTTAACCGCCGTAACGCCAAGATCGCGGTCGAGCATCCCGAAAGCACGGCGGAAGGCGATATTCTCGATGGTTGGCAGGATCAAACAGACTTGACCAACACGAAATTCAAGTTCCTAATCTAGATCCGGTACTAACTCTACTCCCGACTGAGAACCTGCTAGGTTCATGGATTTAAGCTGTTCATATATAGTTCTTAATTATATTAATTTTGCTTCGCTTCGTTCAGCAAATATATAAGCGACTATATAGCACTTAAATAAGGCTATTATAAAAGGCACTAGCTAACCGGGCTTATAACTATCGAATAAAAGGGAACTAGTATAAGTTAATACTAAAAGCTTAGTATAGAACCCCTAAATACTTATAGAGTAGGTCTATAAGTAGATCCCATATACACTAACTAAGCGAAGGGAAATGGTTGTGTAGGATAGGGCATTTCTGGCTGGTGTTATATAATAATAATACGTATACTAATAACCTAACTATTGGAATGATTATTATCGAATAATATACTTAGGAATTGTTTTCATTAGCTCGAATCATAGCACTTCTTCATTGGAGTCTTTATGCTCGAACAACTTCCGAAATCTGGGTCATTGCCGCGAGCACTTTCTCATCCTCCCACCTAGCGCCGATGACCTGCAGAGAGAGGGGAGCGTCGACCAGTCGTTTCGGATCGTCTGTTCAAAACCAACCAGTCTTAGTATCTCAACTTACTACAGAAAAAGGGATTGTCTCACATTCGCTCCAAAGCTCACGGTCCAAGTCGCTATAAAAAGCCTCCCGCGCAACAGGACTATCCATTACAGGGTCGACAGACAGCCCAGTCGGGAAAACACCTCCTGGATAATCAACCAGATTCCATTGTGAAGTATACCCCCACCATTTGGTGGTTCCCAGGGGCTGCGCTGGTCCATACCCGGCCGGGCATAACACAACGTCCACCCCAGCGGCTTGAAAATGCTTGTTGTATCGCGCACGGTATTCGTCCCGCTGTGAGACAAGCTGCTTGCCATTAGCTAGGCTCAATATGATAGAGTAGTAGTTGAGGGCATACGTCAAACACTTCGAGAGAAGACCGAGGGCGAGAGTTCTGCTTAACAATCCATTCGGTCATCTCCATCACTGGCTCTCCACTATCCGCGCAGTATTTCTTTATCCGCTCGCCGCCGTCGGTAAAATATAACTGGCTCTGGATTCTGTTAGCCTCTCCGAGCTACCATATGACATTCCGCCCAGAAACCAGCAAGCAACCCGAGCACTTACTATTATGTCCCAAGCCTCCTTGGCGTTGTATGCCTTGTATTCGACCACGGTGAACCCAGCTACCCTTAGCTTTCCGACCGCATACTTCAAGGCCCTAGAAATTGGTAGATGAGGCAGAACGACTCCATCATCCCACATGACCCCGATAGTCGGTGTGGCCGCACCGCCACGCCAAGTGAGCTCTTCTATCCGCCAAGGCATGGCAACTTGGGTTGGATCAATTTTCCACGGTTCAGCCGCAAGCACCACCTTCATGAATAAATTCATATCGCGCGCAGACTGTCCCATCGGACCATAAGCTCCAACGATGGCCTCTTGTCCAGACATCGTTGACTAAAAGGGATGATCATGGCCCACGGTCAGTCTAACACAATATAGTCCATAAAGAAACGGAGAGTGAAACTGACGACATTGCCATACTTGGGTGTTCTGCTAGCCGTTGGCTTGAAACCCCAGATACCCGTGACCGCAGCCGGCGCGCGAATGCTGCCACCGATATCGGTTCCGACACTGAATAGAGTCAGCGAGAATTCCTCATCAGGTTCTCAGATCGCACATCAACTAACCCCATGGCACTAGCTTTCATTGCGATGAGGGCGCTCTCGCCCCCACTGCTTCCGCCGGGAGTTAGAGTTCGGTTATAAGGGTTGGTGCATGGTCCCAGAAAGCAGTCGGTTTCAAGGTGCATGATGGCCTGCGGAACGGCCGTTTTGACGATGAATACTGAAGGAGTAAGCTCAGTCAACGCCATGGGTCAAAATGGAAGAACTCACCGGCTCCTGCGTCGCGCAAAATTGCAACCAACGTTCCATCCGCGTCAGGTACCTTATTTCCAGCAAACGACAGGAAGCCAGCCGTACACTCGTGACCGGCGATACCGCAGATATCTATAATAGTATCAGGCATGAGCTTTTCCAGCAATCTATTTATTTATTACCTTTTAGCGAAATTGGAAGACCGTGCAGGGGCCCGACAACTGTCCCCGTCTGTTCCAGCTGTTTATCCAGCCACGCTGCCCTCTCCAGGGCTTCCTCATGAAACCAGTCCACCAAGCAGTTGGTAAGATTTTGGGCTATCGCTGCGGCCTTGGCATACGCGTTTGTGGCCTGGAATGATGTATACTTCCTGAGGGCGATGGCATCTATGAGCCCCATGGCATCGAGCCGCAATATTTGCAGTTCAGTTTCGGAGAGAATGCCACTTAGAGCAACGGCATCGATTACATTTTGAGAGGCCTCAATATCAGGGGTGAGCTTCTTCCATTCCGCAGGGATTTTCGCAGCGAGCTGCTTTTTGAAGAGAAATGCTCGCTTCACCCAATCGGAATTCGTGTTCATGTTTGTAAAGAAAAGGGACGATAGGGGAAGATGGAAAAAAGAAAATGAAGAAAATGAAGAAATGATGAGATAAATCGCGTGTTGACTCAAAACAAATATTGTGATTCTCTTACTCTACTACTAGTGAGAATAGTACACTTTGGCCGCGGGTTAAGCTGAGCGCGGCCTTGGTCCCTTGGCCCCCAATTCTGGGGCATAGGAACCATGTCCCACGCCCCAGGCCGGGATCAAAGCATTTACAATGACTGGTGACCGGGTGAGTGTACCCGCCCGCGCCTTAGACAGTTTCCAGAGAATATTATGGCCCTGATAGTCGTTTTTCTTTATTAAAATGATCTCACAATAGAAACTCTTTATATTTTTATTCTCTGTCTTCTATTTTGTCTATGGCTTCCAAGGCTCGGGTGCTTTTGGTCGGCAGTGGTGGAATTGGTACTATTGCAGCCTTCAATCTTGAGCACGGCAATCTTGCCCAAGTATCATGTGTACTCCGCTCCAACTACGCCGCAGTTATGCAAAGAGGGTTCGAGATTACCTCGTCTGACCATGGTCATATTCAAAGCTGGCGTCCAACTGAAAGTATGCAACCCACATATCTAAATATATGTGTAATATTATTCCGTGTTGCTAATCCACCGACATTTAGTATTAAATGCTGTTCCCCATTTTCGCGGAAACGGTGACCGACCATTCGATTATATTGTCATCTGTACAAAGAATGTGCCAGATGTTGGTCCCTCGCTATGTCAGATTATAGGTCCTGCGGTCACTTCTCGTCATACCGTGATTACCCTGATCCAGAATGGCCTGAATATAGAGCGGCCTTTCTTGCTATCCTTCCCTGATAACATTATTTTATCTGGAGTTAGCCGCATCGACGCACACGAAGTCTCGCCTGGTGTGATCGAACAAAAGCAAAAAGATAATCTCCATATCGGTGCCTTTCACAACCCCAAGCTTGATAGCGATAAACAAAGACGCGCTGCCGAGGAATTTGTGAAAATATATCGTGCAGGAGGCAATACCACTTGTCTTCACGAGCCCGATGTAGCGCGTGATCGTTGGAGCAAGCTGGTCTACAACGCGACCTGGAACCCTATCTGTGCGCTGACGGGAGTAAACACGGGGGATCTCCGCCTTACGAATTGTGTCATTGATGACCTTCTATATCCTGCTATGAAGGAGGTGCTGAAGGTATCGCAAGCAAGAGGATGCCTGCTTCCCATGAGCATCATTGACGAAACTATCCATTGTGACCCTGTTGAGGAAAAGGTCACCCCCAGCATGCAGAAGGACTTGGAGAAGGTGTGTCAAAAGCCCCGGTTGATGAATAAGCTATGAAGTATTGGTCCATGGCTAATCTAGCAACTGCTGCAGGGCAATTTCATCGAGCATGAGAATATCCTTGGTGAAGTGATTCGCGAGGCTCGAGCAGCCGGCGTGGCCACCCCAATCTTGTCAGCGATATACGCACTTTGCTCTGGAATTCAGTGGAAGACTAAAAAGGCTAAAGGTCTGGTTGATTTAGCGAAGAATTCAGACGCCATTTAGTCAGATAGAAGAAGCAGAATTCGAAATTAGGAAATGGTGGTCGCGCGATGGTAGAGATAACAACGAAAATGAATAGTAACAATTTAGGCGTTTTAAAAGCTTATATAGAATAGAACACTTCCCATTCCAAAAGACCCAGCAGAGATAATGTTTCGTATATTATCATCCACAAAGATGGTCTTCCGGGGATCTATCCCAGTGGACTTTCAAGACATGCCGATAGAAGCCCAAAGTTGGTTTCCGCATCCCGACGGCAGATGAAGGGAATACCTCGCCAAACAACGGCCAGAATGCAGGACCCCATCGAGTATGAATAGCATCAAAGTCAGGATTGGAGATGTTCGACATGGCGACGATTATCAGCGAGGGTTGATCTTTTCGCAGGGCTTGGATGCAGGATACCACCTGCTCATCGTATTCGACTGTGGTGCGTGCGAGAGCAATTGCTCCATTGAGCTCTGACGGATTGAAGCCGAATTGTTTCCCAAGGAGGTCGTAGCATCTGGTCTCTTCGATCTTACTACACTCATACTGTATCTACGCTAAGGTCGAGGTGAAACGCTTTAAGGATGGGATGGATTTGTTGCTATAAACCTGTGGAGTCTTGATCAGCATCCTTCGAAGGTCTAGAACAAGGGCATCGAATGTCAAGGCTGGCGGATGATCTTCAGACATGGTAAAATTTCAGAGTTCGTAGAATTGTAGGATCGAAAGCTCAAAAATCGAAAATTTGACATGTACCTCATCCATAGATCGGATTTATGCAAAGTCAGCTTCGAATTCTTCACGATCTGACGATCGACAGCGTCGATCTTTAGGTCTCGTGACAATCTTATACGGTCCACCCTGTCTATGTATATCGTGTGTCAGTTGCTGACACGCATTGAATGTTTACCTATACTCGATAGTTCGGAACACCGAGGAACGGTGAGACCAGAACAGGTTTCTCGCTATAAGGGCCTGAACTTGGAGAGACAATCCGTTTTGTACAAGTCAGATTGTCGGAAAATTGGTATCATACAAAAACTCAACAGGGAAAGTATATCCAACAACAGACAATGTAATATACAAAAGTACCAGAAACGAAATATGTATGTGCCATGCCAAGATATCAAGCCAAGCCATTGAAGACTATGGCGTATTCTCAATGAAAGCCTTCAGCCGAGAGCTGTCTTTAGTGGCAATGAAATATGTACCGCCAACGTCGGTCCAGCTCACGTTGTTGGACCAGTAATTCTTCTGCTGGACCTTGAGGAGATTGATCGGAGAGTTCAGGTTGCGAGACTGGATTTTGTGACCAGCGGGAACAAAAGACTTGAGTGACACAATTTTGCAGCCTTCTTTCATATCCAAAAAGTGGTTGATCAGCTCGTTGTTCAATTGTGGGGTGAAAGCCTGGTTGTTGATAAGCACCACATCAGCCCGCTTCAAGACGCTGGTAATACTCTCCTGCTCAAGGAAGTCACCCCGAACAAGATGAGTTTTGCCTGGCGCAATTCCCCACAGCCGGCATCGGGCCTTGAACTCGGATTGCTGCAAATCTGCCAAATCACATGCGTTTGACATCATCTCGCAACCCCAACTCTCACAGCCAACCTCAAGTGCCGCCTGAAGAACGACATTACCTACGCCTGAGCCAAGATCTACAAAGACCTGGCCCGATTTGAGCTTGGTTTCTTTGAAGATTGTGCTGATAAAGCGAGGGAGAAGCTCTCCGTAGACGTTGTCCGTGCCATTCTCGTATTGCCGGAGGGACTCCACTTGAGGAGATACCGTGCGCGAATAAATTTGAGTGAGAATTCTTTCCACCCAAGGTAAACCAATGCCTTGTGTTGCATCCAACTGTTTTGCAAGACTACCGTTGGTCCTTAACCGCTGGATAGCCTTATTGTAATCATCGACAGCTTCCCGAAATTGTGTCTCGGATGTTACAGCCAGAGCCCGGCGCAATCGGCGCTTGATCCCAGTCGTCTCGTCGTTAAACTGATCCGCCTCCTCACTGGGGATATAATTATCGGAGACCGTCTCGATGACCTGAACAATGTCGTCGATAGGTCGGAATCCGTCATTTTCGCGGGGAACCACAGAATCATATCTGGTCGAGCAATAAATTAGTATATAAGTACACCGAAACCGATAGTCCAACCCCAACTAAATAACGTACCTCTCCTGCTGCGAAGCACTGGGGTATTGCAGGAGAATCTGTTTGGGTTTGCCCTCGGCGCCGAAGGCGGGCTTGAACTTGCCGGCCTTCTTGCCCGACGTTATATCCGCGGCATGTATCATTTTAAACGGGCGAGATCCTTCTTCCGAAAACGCTTTCACCGAGCGGAGACGCCGCTCCGGGTCGGGCTCAGCGCTAGCGCTGGTTCTCGCACGTTTGTGCACTTCAAAGGAGGCCTCGCTGTCGCTCGCGTCATCGTCACTTGAGAGTCGTTGCTCGGGCGTCGGCCTTTTCCGAATGCGCGAGGAAGCACTGAGTGGTTTTGTAGGGCGTACTTCTAAATCACTGGAGACCGATCGAGATTTCAACGCCTGCGCTTTCCGGTTCCGCTCCGTTGCGGGCTGGACTCGAGGTGACCGAGTATCCGAGGGTTGTGTGACCGATCGCGTAGGAGCTGCAGGTCGAGTCTGCACGACCTTGCGAATTTGCGCTTTCTTTGGTTGTAAAGAGAAGGCCCCGGCCCCTCCTTTCTGAAGGTGGTCGAAAAAGCCCATATGGATAGGGATAGATATACACAAACGAATGCAGAAAGAAAATAATGTATGTAAAGTATGCAATAACAACGAGTCAAAGAATATAAGAAGTATAATGCGAGTAAGATGGAGGAAGTGGGAGAATCGAAAAGAAAAGACAAGGGCTTATCGATTAAGGCGCCACTCGGGGAAACCACGCGATCCCGCGTTCCTTGGCACTCCTTGGCGCTTGTGTATACAGCCCATCCATGTCTTCTATAGGCGTCTAGTTGATTAATTATATGACTCTATATGTTGTTATATTCATATCGCCATAAACTTGTGGGTTTCTGAAAGTTTAAAATGCATTTTGAGATTGTACCTATGGAAGAATGAACCCTGGGGTATCATAATTATTTTTGCTATGTAAATTGTCTGATTCAAACATTTGAACTATCAAGGCTCTCTCTATTTCTTAGACTTCTTCTTTGCCAGTCTCTTCTCCGCGCGAACATCTTTCTTCATACGAGCATCGACAATCTTGTACTTGCCCTTGACACCCTTAGGACGACCAGAGATACCACGATTGGGGCCCTTGGCAACCACGAGCTTGACTTCTTGCTTGGGCTTCTTCTTGGTTGCCCTGCTCATCAGTCTTGCGATGGCGCCAGCCTTGTCCCGCTCACTGAGAGCATCGTCCTCTGCCAGAAGTGCTGACTTCTTGCGCAGTTTCTCTAGTCTTTGAGCCGCCTTGTACTTCTTGCGACCCTGGGCCTCCATCACCTTCTTGATCGGGCGTGCATTGATGGCACGCATCTTTTCTCTGATAGCAGCCGCGGCAGCCTTAGTGATGGGCCGGACTGGCTTGCTGTGCTTGCCCTCATCATCGAGGAACCACTCGGGAAGGCCGTCCACGTCACGGAAGGCAAATCGGTTGAAGCCATCGTCGACAATGTCAGTCGACCTCTTTTCTCCAGTAGCCATTGACTGCGCAAGGGCCATGGCTTCTGCGGTAATGATGTCGATGTCTGTAGGGGAGGAACAAATGTTAGTCAGGGCTTTATTCATGTTTGGAATCGTTGTAACTTACCCAGCTGGCCATTTGCTTTTAGTGGGTCTTTTCCTTCAGCCTCTTCTGCCTCGCTCTCATCGGACTCATTGACCCACTCAGAGGTCTTCTTTCCGTTCTTCTTTGCGTCCTTGTTGTTCTTTTGCTTGGGGGCAGGGGTCTTCTCCTCTTTCTCCTCATCTTCATCCATTGCAAAGATGTTGTCGCTTTCTTCCTCCTCCTCGGCCTCGTCTTCCTCAGCCTCCTCTTCATTCTCCTCGCCCTCTTCTAGCCCCTCGAAAATATCTTGATCGAAGAACATGGAGGCATTGTTTGAGAGTTTCTTAGCCTCAAGTGCTTGATCTGTAGTAGCGGTTTCTTCATCGGAATCCTCCTCCTCTTCTTCATCATCGCTGCCTTTCTCTCTGTCGGAAAAGCCCTCCCACTCGTCAACCTCGTATTGCTTGCGTGTCTTTTTAGCACGCAGCTTCGAATCTTTGTCTTCCATGCGGCCGGTGTACTGTTCGTACATCTGGTCGAGCTCCCTTTCGAGGCGGTCCTCCTCGTCGTCGCTCTCTTCGGTTTCAGACTCATCTTCGTTTTCACTTCCGCTCTCGGCGGGAAGATCACGAGCATTGACAACGGCATCTCTGGCATTCTCCCGGTCGACGCGTCTCAAAGTGAACGTGGAGTCGTCGCCTCCCATACCAAGCTGCTCCATACCGATTTCCATGGGGGTGGTCATGTTCATCTGCATTCGAATGATATCCTTGCGCTTCTTTTCATTCTCCTTGCGCCTTTCCTTCTTGCCTTTGGCGGTCTGCGCCTCTCGCATGCGGATCAAGTCTTCCTGGATCTGCAGTTCTTCGTCCATAGGGGCCACCTCGGCCACTTCTTCTGCCTGGCCTTCTTGGGTTGGCTTCTTTTTGATGACAAGTCCGAACTTCTCACGACACTTGATACGCCATCTGAGCAAGTTGCGGAACTCTTTTTTACCTAGGATCTTCAAATCCTCACAGCAAGTTCGGATCTCATCTGTTGTTTCCTCCAAACGGTCTAGTGTGGACAACGCAAGATCTCCACCTGGTGGTTGTTGGAAGCTGAGTTTGTTGTAGGCACCCAAGATAGAGATAGGATCCGTAGTGTTGATGAAATCCGTCACTGGAAGCTCCTTGTGTTGGGTGTAGTCTCCTTCTTCGTAACCTTCACGCTTGCGCTTCTTCTTTTCCGGGTTGAAAACCTTCGCTTCGTAGTTGGGAGTGGGAGCGGAAAGTTCAGCAAAGACGTGCTTCGGGTCGAGGAACTTCGGGTCAATGCGCTTGGGAGCCTTGAAGCCGCGGCAAACGACGAAAATTTCGGCGGAGACATTTCGGGACGAAGGAGGCTTGGTTGCCTCGACGGAATTGAACAGCTGCTTGAAAACCCACAAGAGGGGGTTGTAATCCTTGGACCGGAAGACCTTGGTAACGAAAGTTCCGCCCTCGCCCAAGAAATCAGTAGCCAGTCGCAGGGACTCCAAAACTAGTTCTGCCTGAGAGAAAGCATCCTGAACCCACGCGGCACCAACGTTGGGGGCACCATCGTGAAGCACGACATCTGCTTTCCAGTGCTTGATGTGGGATCGAATCGTTGCGCGACACTTGTCCGTTGTGATATCGCTTTGGAAAGTAATGGCTCGAGGAATTGGTTTGATGGGGGAGAGATCGACACCAATGATGAGACTCTGCGCAGGCATGTACTCTGCAGCGACTTGACACCATGACTGCTCGGCCGTTAGAGAAAGACTTTTGGGATAGAAGGTGGAATTTGCGGATACTCACACCAGGCGCAGCGCAAAGATCGATACAAACTCTGCTTTTCTCCAAGAATCCATACTTCTGGTTCAATTGGATCAACTTGAACGCGGCACGAGCTCTGTAACCCTTTTCTTTGGCAAGTCGATACCATTTATCCAAACGACCTTTTCCATGCTGCAAATAGTCAGTACATGAAATGATGTAAGCTGAGATAAAACTGAGCAAACCTTTTTCTGGATCGCCATTTTGAAGAATAGCTGATCTTAATAGACCAGAAAATCCTTTTAAAATGACCGGGGAAATAGAACGAATGTATACTTTCTCTATGGAAGAGGATCCGAGAAAAAAAAAAGTTGCAATACTTATCGCTCACCGCCTTTGAACTTGTTCTCCGGCTTGTTGCCTGAGGCCAAAGGTCAGTGCCAGGCATGTGACGTGATATCACTCAGGCACCCCCCAACCAAGTCACTTGTGGCGCTTTGTAGATGCTTGGTCACTTGGGTTTGACCGTCTAGACTATAGACCTGATGTTTTTACCCTACCTCCATGACACCCAAGGGATCTCGCAAGAGAGTGAAGACCAGCCCCTCCGGCGTGGACTCACCCGCTGGACTGAGCGGTGATGGCCGAGACCGCTCAGACTCCCAGTCACGGGGGTACAATGCCGTAAGCTCTTTGTGACCACAATAGCCAGTTCCTTTTATCATATTTACTAATCACCTATCTTTCTTATAGAGCTGGTACCCCGGGTCCTGGTCTTCCATTGCAAGAGTGTCTAAAGCTGCCCCAGTTACCGAGGTTGCCCGTGAAAGCATTTCAGCGGCCAAAGCTATAGCATCGAACGTCACGAACTCATCGACTTCTCTTCTTGATACCCCAACAAAGAATCGACATTCTTCCATTCAACTTACGCGAAAAGTGGGTGCCTCGACCAGGTCTCTGCCCGCTGACGCTACCACCACCCGAGTCAACATTGCATCGGATGGATCCGCTTCCACTACGGCTGCCGCCGATACCGAAGAATCCAGGGCTGTAAACCCGGCAACATCCGATAAAGAAACACCCGAGGATAGTGATATCAAGCCGCTAGAGGAACCACCAAAGGAACAAAAGGCCACCCCTAACGCCGATCCCAGCATATTGCATGCGGGATCTGCAGAGGGCACTGAACAATCTAGTGGCTGGCTCTCATGGATCTATGGACCATCGGCTACGTCTGCAGTTGCTGCGAATGTCCCAGAATCCCAAGCTGTGGAACATCCGTCGGCTGAAAACCAAATGGCAGAGCAGGGTGCTCAGCCTATTGTGAAAGGCTATACGGCACGGGAAGAAGACCTGGAACCAGAACCAGAGCAGACAAAAGATACTGTTGGTACAGTTGAAGTTATCCCCACATCCCAGAAGCGTTCGTGGCTTCAGATGTGGTATGGTACAAACTCAACGAGCAAGCAACAAGACCCACCATCTACAGAATCCACCATCTCACCTTCCACGAATCACAATTTCACCGAGGCTGTCGACACAAACATGGCACCACAAGATCCCCCAGATGAGTCAATGGAACCAGCTGGCGGGTCACAGACCCCAGTCGGGACGACGAGATCATCTGGCTGGTCATTCTGGTCCAAAGATCCAAAGAAAGATGGACCCTCCGACAAACCACAGGAAGGCGAATCTATTGAGGCGTCAATGGGACCGAACTCGCCTTCAAAGCATGGAGCACTTGAACCAGGTACAGATTCAAATGTCAAGATAACCCAGAAAGGCAGTATCAAAATCAAATCTCAAAAAGACAACCGTCTCAAGGATGTATCTGGGTCCACCATTGAAGCCACCCCTACATCTACGCTGCCTGTTGAACCTCGACCAGCTGATACCGCCGCCTCAAAACAATTACAGCAAATTCTTCCCAACCAAGTACTGCCGAAGTTCGAAGAAACCTATCCGTTTGAGCAATCGCCCTCCATCTTGCAAAGCCTCGGTCGACTTTTGCATTATGGGAAAGGACCAGAGGTTAGGCACGTCAGCAGGGTCAGAGATCCGCTGCATGTGAGACATGCTTTGGCTATTGGTGTCCATGGATATTTTCCCGCTCCTTTCATTCGGAATTTACTTGGACAACCCACAGGTACATCCATCCGGTTCTCCAATATGGCAGCAGAAGCCATCCGGAAGTACACCCAGAGTCATGGCTACTCTTGTGGTATTGAAAAGATCGCATTGGAAGGAGAAGGCCGTATTACGGAGCGAGTGGATCTCCTGTGGAAGCTGCTTCTGAATTGGATGGAGGAGATCCGCAAGGCCGATTTTGTCATGTTCGCATGTCACAGTCAAGGTGTGCCAGTAACGATTATGCTAGTTGCAAAGTTGATACAATTCGGCTGTCTTGACACCAAACGAGTCGGCATCTGCGCTATGGCAGGTGTAAACCTCGGCCCATTCCCGGATTATCGCTCTCGATGGATCAGCGGGTCGGCTGGAGAACTGTTTGAGTTTGCACTGCCTTTCAGCAAGGTCTCGAAAGAGTACGAAGCTGCTCTTAAATGTGCTCTCAATTTTGGTGTTCGCATATCTTATATTGGAAGTATCGACGACCAACTCGTTTCACTGGAGGTGAGTACATATCCTGATGTTCAAGTAGCTATTAAATTGCTAACTTGCCCCTAGTCTTCCCTCTTTTCTCCCATAACCCACCCTTACGTCTACCGCGCTGTCTTCGTGGATGGCCGAGTCCATGCCCCAAGCTTGTAAGCAACCCCGCACCCATCCCATATCAACCATGCTAATATGAAAACACAGCCTCTCTCATCTAGTTGGCTTCGCCCTAAAGCTTCGCAACCTTGGTGTCCCCGACCACGGTCTAATCCGCGAACTAAGCACCCCACTAGCAGGAAGTCTGTACTCAGGAGAGGGACATTCTCGGCTATACGACGATGAAGCCGTGTACTTGTATGTATCAGTCATGAATCTTTACCCACATCCAAACTGACATCATCTTCCAGCATGGCCATAGAATTCGCACTCGAGACTTCTTCCGTCCCAGACTCCGCGCTCAGCGTCAAGCGAGCCAGCAGCTCCATCACACCAAACCCGTACATCCTCCCCTTCGCCATGCGCGGTCTGCTGGAAGAGGAATATGTGCGCCAAGAGCTGCACGACGAGACTATGGAATTGCTCAGGCAATTTGATGACTGGAAACCCTCTAGTAAGGTTTTGAAAGATGTGAAATTTAGACTAGAAGGTATCCGGTCGAAGCTTTAGCTACGCTTGGTAGTCAAGAATTAGAAAGTATCTTGCTTGAATGGAGATTCGATATTAGCGGTTTATTAGATGGAAATACACGTTCTCTTCTAAGACTTGCTGCCGGTCTGTATAGAAACACAATTACGTCATTCATAGTGGACACATTCCCTTCTTGGTCTTGACCGAACTGTGATGGTAAATAGTTTAATATGCATACGAAACACAACTTCTATCATATTAACCTATCTACCAACGAAAGCCATCATATTTGCATTATGCCTGAGATATCCAAAAACGCCCCGATTCTGTTGACTGAGCACGGAATAAGAATAGTGGAGAATCCAGTCGTAAAAGAGAGGAGATCATTAAAATGGCAGTGCCAAAAAGAAAAGCCTAGAACGGCCGAAGGAAAAAAGTACCCCCCTCCTCAATTAAACAGATGCTAGTGGGAACGCCGTTTTATATGCACCTTCGATTTCGTCTAGAACAAAAGTTAGCATGAGGACCACATAGTAGGAAACAGAAAACCAACCTCTCATCCCATCCAGAGCCTCAAAAGCAAGCGAATAATTCGACACAGCCCCGATAATCCGCTCTAAACCCTGCCGTAGTTCCTCAATAAGCTGGCCAGTCGAATCCCCACCATGCTCATTATGCGGACTGTCAGGCGCAAGCTGTTTCGCCACGCGCGCCTTGTAGTAGATCATGAACATCGCATAGCTACTTTGCATCAGACAGCATGCGAAGGAAGGCATGGTCCTAGGCAAAGGACGACCCTGCTGTTGCTGTGGATCCAAGAGGGGCTGCGGGACGGGCAGACTATGGAACATGCGGGAGATGACGAGTGAGGCCTGGAGACATATTTTCGCGGACTGCTGCGTGCTGTAGGGGAATCCGGCTGCGAATGGATATTGCGAGTACTGGGGTGCGTATGAGTTGATTTCGGGGTGGATATCTGATGAGGTGGAGGAATCGGATGGGGTCATGTATTCTGTTGAGGCTGCTCGTTCGAAGGAGCTTAGGTTTGAGCAGGAGCAGGTGACATTGTGGAGGCCGGCGGGTTTGGTGCTGACGGTTGTGGTAGCGTTGCTTGGGTTTGCTGCTGTCAGATCGCAATGTCTTTTGATGAAGAGGGGGATGTCTGAGAAGGCTCGGAAGCGGTGCGTTTTGATTTGGGCACTAGGGTCTTTGTTAGTCTGATCTAGGTATGAGAGGGGGAATGGCTCGAACCTGGATAGTTTGATTCGGGATATTGCGCGTATGCTCTGGGCTGTAATGGATTCGTTGTGATCGCCGAAATCTGATGTTTGGGGTAGAAGAGGGAGTAGCTCCGCCTGTGCAATTACAGAGTGGGTCCAGGCATCAAGTTGTTGCATTCGTTCGAACATATAATACATCCCCGATTGGGATGCAATGCACTTGTTCAGATCACCAATGAACTGGGTTGCCGATACAAGCACTTGTTGAGCTTGTATAAAAATACCCCAGCCCTGAGGAGGGGTTAGCAGATGGAAGACAATCAAGAGGTCTTGGAGTTCAAACCTCGGTATCTGATGAAAACGATGGATATGGAGTCGTGAACTGCGGGTCATTGATAACAATAGCAGGCATCTAGTTCTTTATTAGCCCCAGATCATGTTTGAAGAACTATGTTACTCACCGTTGTGCTGACAATAGATCCTTGCATCACACAATAATACTGAATTACAATCAGCTTAGGAACCAGGAAATAAAAAAGGGATACAAACCGTCATCCACCAGGCTCTCCGTCGAGCTTCCGAAAATTCATCATTCCCCATTTGAGCATGAAGTGACTTATCCAAAGCAATTGCAAGAGCTTGGCCAGCACGATAACGCATCTTGAGCAAGTTACCGCGTTGGGCGTATTCATAAACTGAAAGCACTAGAAGAGCCAGGAGGCTCTCATAGTCCACCGGAGTTTGCGAGTGGAATCTTTCCCGTCCAACAAACGGTCGTGCGGCAGACAATGCCTGTCCAGGATCAGTCGCGGACAGATCAAGATCACACTCTGTTTCGACTGTTGAATGAGCCAGTTGGGCGAAAGTATGCGCGTATTGTCTGCGCTGGAACACAGACGCTGTGGACGACGGCTCAAGATCACTTGGGTGCGGGATCAAAGCCAAGACCGCAGACAGGGCAAGACTTAGAGGCGAACGGGGCCGGTACATCATTGTCGGTTCAGATGTACTCGAACATGGAACAGAGCAGTTCAATGGTCGATCTCGGCACGGTGGTGATGCCCGTGGCGGAAGAATGGGGAAATAGTTATGAATGAAGTCATAATAGGCATTCAATCTGGGGATATTAGACCATATATGGAATTTACTGCAGACGGACACTTACATTTCGGGCTCGCTTCCATAGGTTCTTACGAACGGTTGAGTGCTGTTCAAGGGTGGTGATACCAAGGGCACTTGCATATGGGACTGACTGCCATCACCAGTGAAGAAGCTCTGGAACATGGAGGGAATTTCAGACTGGAAATCTAGATGCCTCAAACCTGCGCCAGGCAGAGAGAGTTCATCGATTTGGTTGAACATCCCTGGTGCTAGAATTTGATTAGTATATCGCCTTTCTTTTTTTATTTATTTATTTTTTTTATTTTTCGGACATGAGGATAATGACGTACCTTCTTCAAACTCTGGGGGTGAAGGGACAGCATTATACAAAGCATCATCTTGCCTCGATTCCTGCTCTGGTGACAGGGAGGACTTCTCCTTCTTTTTGCGTGGCCCACCTCGTTTGCTGGGTAGATAAGAGCATTCTCTGTCCTTGCTAACACACTAAAATAAAGGTCAGTTTCATGCAATGAACATTGATCAACTTAAGATCCACAATAAATAAGCTCCCAAAAGCACTCACATTCGCGCATGGCACCTGGCCGCCACATCTTGTTCTCGAAGCCCGACTAGAATAATATATTAGTGGAGAAGTTCCTCTTTTTTTTCTCACGGGATTTGCTCACCAAGGCAGACAGGCTACCTTAACTGGCGGTTTAGCAAACTTCTTGCGAACCGACCGAGGCGCTGTCGTGGCCAGTCCGTTATAGTCGTGAAAAGTATCGACCATGGTGATACTTAATAAGTCGAATAAACTACAAACACATCGATTTGAAACTGCACCTCCTGGGTGTCTTTGCAACCAAGTACTAGTTGAAATGGGGCATTCTGCGGCTTAATAAAAAATCGCAAGTCCGAAAGGGCGCTGATATAGAGACTTCCGTGTGATTGCTTGATCTTCGCAAATCCCGAGCCGTGGGGAGGTTCGGGATTTGCTTTTCGCAACTAAGCAAAGAGGGATCAAGTTCGACCCCAAATTGGAGAGATGGTGTCAGGATGCAGTCTATATGCAGGATAATCGAAAATGATGCTTTTCATTCCATGGTCTTTTTTTCTTCGGCACATAGCATCTTGGGAATGAAAAAGAGAGAGAAGAGAAATGATATTCCAGGGATTTCAAAGTTCGGATGTGAACGTACCGATACGACAAATACCCGTATTAATTCACTGTGGCGGGAGAGAGACATGTAATTTTACTCAGCTGAAACGGTTAATCACGTGGATCCACCGCCATAGAAGCGTGATGATGTAGCTATTTAATATTGAAGACTTAGTCTACTCCGTATGTACTTTATCGTGAAGGCTGAATTGAGATTTAACATGATCTGTCGATCGAAGGGTGTCCCCGGCGATCTCTTCCAACCAAACAGAAGATTCGGACATAATTCGGAGAGGTTATCAAATCATTCTTTAACGGGGTGGATCTTTAACCAATCGCTAAACAACTCACGATACAGGGCTACGATAATTATGGAGAAATGATTTGGAATACATTTTCATGCTAGGCATTGTCGATCGATGTCAAGCTATCCACAGGGATGTGCCTAATCCGATTCGTCATTAGACTTAAGCATGGGCCTTACCTTTTCCAAGGGGGAGCTTAATACCCGCAATATGCCGCACGCTATCCCAGACACTGTCCCGAACTTTCACAGGGAGCTTGTGTCCCTTCAAGAACTGGTCGATCAACCACATTCCGACCACGAATTCCTCACGCACCAAAAGTCCGATATGTTGGTGATCGACTAAATCCCACACTTGCCCCAAAATCGCCTCTGGCAGGCGACTGCGGGACCAGATTTCCCGGACCACCAGATTGAGAACCATATCCGAAGCATTAGGTGGCCATGGCCCGGTTCCATTAGGATCGGGTGGGACGAGAAGCCCTTTATTAGAAGCCCAAACACCTTCGTACCGTTTGCGTTCCTTCTCGGTGACCTCGCGTCGCCAGCGCTTACGGTCGCCCTCCTTGTGCTTGTGGGGGTGTTTGTGCAGTGGGTTTCTGTGTTTTCGGTGGTCGGTATCGGTGGGTTTCGGCATGCCGCGAAGTGTCATCGGCATGCTCTTCGGTGGACTTGGTGTCCTTGATAGATCACTCTTGGATTGGTGTGCCAAATGTAGAATGGATCGTGCCCCTCGTCGCTGCGGAGGGAGCGGTGGGGGAGCCTTGATAGATGGGGAAGCCTTGATAGATGGGGATGCTCGTGCTGATGCCAGGGATGAGGCGATAATAGCATTGGAGAGGGATTCCTCGCTCATGCCAATCGAGTCATCTATTATGCTGGAGGTACTTGTATGTGACTGGCTTGATATAGATACCTCACTCGGGGTTGAAGATCGCTTAGGTATTGCGGCAGTTCCATAGTTTCTCATAGACCCTCGTGATGGAGGCACACGTGGTGGAAGCCTGGGTTTCAGCTCAACTGGCGGGACAGAAGAGTTCCGAGGCTCAAAGGAGGGATGGGGGCTCAGTTCTCGACCATCGTGATTATTTAGAGTTGCCCTAGATTGTTGGGATGGAGAGTGCCCGTAGATAGGCAAATCTGAGTCAGACTTTAAGCCATTTTCGTGCAGCATGCGATCCAAGGGACTATCTCTCCCTTGGATCGCGCGAAGCGGGGTCGGTGCTAGTAGCTGTCGCTTTTCTGGTGAGGGTGGCACCCGACTCGCACTTCGTACTGCACCTGCGCCAAGTCTGGCGGTTGTCGACGGAACACTGGTGTCCCGCCCAGGGGACCTTGACGCAGCGAGCCGTGCCGCAATCTGGGAGGCCGAGGAGAGAGAGGCGGCTGAGGTTCGTCCTCTCACACCTAATGATGTACTGGCTGGAGGCGAAAGTGGTCTGGCAAATCTCCCAACCTTATCCTTTACAGAGCCCACTTCGGGGGCATCGGATCCAGTCCTCTGGTGACCCAGAGGACGATGATCACTTGCCATTGCAGCAGAAGAACTAGCCCTCACATTGGTAGCCCTCACATTGGGTGAGGGATCCCTGGAGTGCTGGAATGCAAGCGTGGCGCCTTGTAGAGCGTCATTCCGGGCCACACCCAACCGCTGGTTCGCGGAAGCGGCCTCGCCATTCATGGAATCGGTTCCCCGCAAAATTCGGTAAGTATGCAGGTGATGCGAGTTGAAACCAGGATTATATGAAGATGATCAAGACACTAGGATGATCCTTCATATGATTTGTTTTCTTTTTTTTTCCTGAGATGTTTAGGGGGAAATATCGACGGGAAATGGCCGTGCACGCGACCGTACACGTTTCTTCTACGCGACTACGTGTGTACAGCTTACGGAGCAACACATATGAAATCAAATATCACGATTAAAAGTATTTTCAGATGTTATATCTCTATGGTTTCATTATTTTACACATTTCTAACAATTCGATTGTACTTCGTCAACTCCGCACTGTTTACCCCAGACTTTAATTAACCGAGCCGCCATTTATTCATCCGTTCTCCGCTTTGCTTCCCCCTCCCCATCTGCATCTGCAATGTGACTTACATATCAGCTTGGCTTGGGAAAATGCTATCTACTTCTCTGAAGCACAATCGGAACCATGGCGGGTAAAAATAACCCCGAGGATCCTCATGTTGGAATAGAACGGAGATCCGAAGTTCGAGATACAGATCGGAATCCAGACGAACTGGTTGCCGGTCACATTCAATGCTCAGTGTGTAGCAGTACATTCCGACGGCCAGAGCATCTGAAACGGCATCTGCGGAGTCACACCAAGGAGAAGCCGTTTGAGTGTGCCCAGTGCGGTCGGCATTTTTCCAGAACGTATGCGCGCTTGGGTTATAGCTATCCTAGCGTCGAGATTCACGTGCTAATCAACCCCCAGTGACACCCTCCATCGACATGAATTGAGTCATCATGCACCAGGTACGGGAGGGAAAGATCGCGCACACCGGATTACCGTCAAAACATTTCGGGCTTGCTTTAGTTGCGCAACGGCAAGAGTAAGATGTAGCGGAGGCACGCCATGTGGACGATGCCACACTCGCTCGCTCGGATGTCAATACCCCACACAAAGACGGTCTAAAGCAAAAGACAGAAGAGATTCAGAGCAGGAAGCTCATGTGCAGAGCGACAACCTCAAACCCATGCACCAAGAGTTGAATTCGGCTTTTAGTCAGAGCCAGTTTTCTGTACACCCACAAAATGAGCCGACATCATCCAAAACTTTGCTCAACACGTCATCTACACCCGGCAGTGATATCACAAAACGAATACCACAAAATGCACGCACCATTGCAGACGCCTCGAATCATCGTTTTTATCTCCCGAATGAGGCACAAGGGCCGTCTGAAATAGTTCCACCAGGGGTTTACTCTAGAGACATCAACCAGGCATATAACTCGGGCTCTGATAACCCCAAAGCGTTACCTGTTGATTCATCCAACAACTTAGACTCTGAAGTCAGGGATATTCAGCCGGGAATGACCAACCCAGCAGGTGACATTGAGATGACCATGGCAAATAATCCGGGGATCCCACTAGAGTTTGATCCCGCGTTCTTTGACCAATCTATGCTTTCCACCATCAATTGGCTCCCTAGTGAGTTGCTTTCTGGTCCTCCTCATTTCCACGCGCAGTCCACCGGTGTTTCCTCGCAATACAGCCAATCTCTCAGCCCAAGTACCCACTTCTCTCGGACAGCGTGGCAACCGCCGGTTATCAACGCTGGGCAAACCAGTTCTTTGCAACCAGAGCGAGTCTCCCAGACACCCTCTGTGCATGTTTCTCTAGGAAACAACATGGGAAGCCCTAATCAATATTCCCACGGTATTAGCGAGCCTTCTCCTCATACCGAGTCAGTGGGCTCCGCCAAGGGATCGGCGGACTACTATGTTGATGGTGCGCCATCCAGACTCCCAAAGTACGGGAAGAAACACACGCCTTGGTCCAGCGAATCTGTAGCGCCGCTCGATACTAGCAGGCAGCTGCTCATTGAAGATGGCGAGCACGGGTTCAACTTCCCTATCATTTCTGAACTACGCACAGATCAGATATCGGAAGATATAACCCGGTTCACACAACGGATTGAAACCTCCACCTACGATGAGATTTATCGGCACTTTGTTCAACTATGCTGCAATGAAACTCCCTTTTTTGAGGTGTTCGAATCGGAGAAATTCCCCACCGTGGAGGAATGCAACCAGTTCATCTTCTTCTTCTTCAATTCATTTCAGGCCGTTTATCCGATATTACATCTTCATAGATTTAATCCCAATACAAGCCATTGGCTCTTGACTTCGTCAATATTAGCACTTGGCTGCCACGTGTCCCACATTTCCGAGATGGAGCAGTGTACAGCTGCTTTCCACGAACTAATTCGGCGAGGTATCTATCTTGAGGTGAGAAAGACTTTCCTACCCCCATGTGTTCGTTTCCAACTAATTGTTTTGCACCGCCAGAAAGAAAAGAGTCCCCCTAGTCAGGCTTCTCTCGAGATATTGCAAGCTATGTTGTTCAACTGCATTGGACTTCTCCATGGTAGGAGCGAGCGAGGAAAGGCTTCGGCCTTGAGCACCTTTGGTGACTTGGTGACACTCATGAAAACCTCCCGCTTGTTGACACCGATGCGAACAAAATTCAATGAGGCGTCACCAGATGCAGCTTGGGCATCTTGGATTCAAGATGAGGTCAGGAGACGTACCGGCTATTGTATATGGGTAAGTTTTGTCGAAAAATGAACATTTACTGTTACTGACGACGACAGCTTGTCGATTGTACTCTTGCATATTACTTTGATGATCGGCCTCTGCTCTCCCTAGATGACGGACAAGCTGCATTACCCGCGCACGAGAAGTTATGGCAAGCAACATCCGCAGATGCATGGAAGCCACTGTGGGCGAAATCATTTGGTACCTCGTATTCAGATCCAATAACCGACCAATCTCTAACTTCTACAGCCAACGAATCCTTATACAACGCAGTCCATATCCTCTACATTGAGAAGAGAGTAGTAGTTGGAATAGGAGAATTCAGTCACATCTTACTCATCCACGCTCTCTACCACCGGATGTGGGAAGTGGGTGACTACTTCCGCCGCCCACTATCCTTCTGGAACCCGACAGCGAAGAAGCAATCATGCGATACCGCCATCCCCACAGGCTCAGTCTGGCTCCCAGGAATTCCCTCATACTCGAAATGGCGCAACAGCACATGCGACTGCCTCGACATCCTCCACTGGACCGCTAACAGCACCGTAGCCAAAGCCGCAGGTCTCGAGCACCCAACCATCCTCCACCTCCATGCCGCCCGATTATTCCTCCTCACTCCATTCCGCGAAATGCGCTCCCTAGCAACCTCCCTAGCAACAGAAAAGCAGCCCTGGAGTAAACGACACCAGTCCCTCGAGTGGCAGTATATCTGGCGCTGGATGAAACACGACCAATATAAAGCCCGGCTTTCAATCATTCACGCCGGCGTCACCCTCTGGCATATCCGTCGTTACTCGACGAACGCTTTCCACGAGCCTGTCGCGGCGTTCATCGCTGTGCTGACGCTGTGGGCGTACGGATCATATCACCTGCATACGTCCCATGAGTCGAGTCCGCGTGCAGAGCCGCTTCATGAACCGAGTTTCATTCATCTTGACCGGCCGTGTGATGATGAGCTTGTGCAGCTTTTTGTGAGGGAGGGTCATGCTATGAGAGGGAATGTTACTGGTGTTGGTGATATATGTGGGGCGGAGGGTCCGGAAAGGGTCCTACGGATTGGATGTGAGATTCTTTCGGGCTTGACGGCGTGGAATGTTTCGAAGAAGTTCGTGGCTATTTTGACGCGGCTTGCGGAATTGAGCTCGTGTCGTTCCTCTTGGGGACAGAATTGTCGACGTGATGCTGAACACATCTGACTTTTAGCGTGTATGGCAAATAGACACATTTCTTATTCTGTATACTAGTCTCTGTATTGGTCTTAACCCTTTCCAAAAGCTTGGCAATACCGAAGTGGTCGAGCATGAAGTGCAGGGGCCTGTCAAAGCAGTGTAAAAGGCTTCCAAGAGGTACGGCCTGCTGTAAAATTGAAAGCTAACAATTTTCTGCTGGAATCAAAAACCAATAGGATCAAAGTCCCAAATCTTAAAATGGGAAGACGCATGGTTTATTCTTTAAGAGGTATTTGGTTATTTGCGTAAAAGCTCAGATGTAAATTAAAGCTACGTTTCCTCTCTAATCGATGGTGAGGAGCATTGGTAAGCTTTATCGTTACAGTAGAAATGAATAAATCCTTCAGACGCTTGAAAATGCTGTCTCGATACCCAGATTGACATTCGGCCCTCGTCATGGTACGTGTCTTGCCATCCATCAGGTCAACAATTTCCACGCTTTCGAGAACATCACTGAGTTCCACCCCATAAGCACCGATATTTTGAATGGGAGCCGCACCCACAGTGCCGGGAATGAAGGATAGGTTCTCGATGCCACCAAGGTTGTGGGTGAGACAATAGTCAACCAGCGAGCCCCATGTGACACCTCCGCCCACCTTGAGCGATGTATGCGTATGGGCTCGAGAAATGGGCTCGATTCCGAGAATCTTGTTCTTCAGAAAAACCCCGTCATAGGACTTCTCAACAAAAAGTAGATTACTTCCTCCTCCCAGAATCACATGGGTTTGGAACAATGGTGATTTGATGAGCTTATCGAGACTCTTGTTCTGGATACGGACGACATAGCGTGCAATAACTTGAATCTTAAAAGTGTTGTAGTATTGCAGGCTGATATTTTCCTCCCAGTGAAAGCTTGACATTTCTGGAGTGGCGGTGTGGATTGTTGCTGCAGTGGTATATATATATATATATATATTAGGCCTAGATCTAGATTCTGCTAGGGACGACAAGTCATTTCCAAACCAGTCACGCGGGCCATACATGTAAGTGCATTCCTGACAAGATCTCCAATTACATCTCACTATAGAGCGCTATGGCCCACTTTGGCACACCGATCTGAGCTGAGCTTGAAGATAGTGCGCCCTACGGAGATCTGCAATATACACGGTGAATTCCATTGTGCGATAAATATTCTCCTTTATAGCAGAAGATACTAGGGCAGCAATTTCCAGAGCATACCACATGCGATGAAAAGTATTATAGCCATCAAAGGCGGCCACGATGTTGCGAAAGATATACATGTCTCTGGGTCAAAAAATGCCGGGCTAGCCCTCATGGCCACATCTCTACTGGCGTCCGGGCAAAGCACACTTGAAGGGGTCCCGCTCGTGTCTGATATTGACAGCATGGATCATATTTGTCAATATTTGGGCGCGAGTATCACACACACGTCTGATTCCTTGCGAATTGATACTACGAATCTAGGCAGTCTGAATGTCCCAGGCCGGCTCACGCAATCATTCCGAGCTTCAATTTTAACATTAGGTCCCTCATTGCACGTTCCGGGTTTGCAAGCATATGTCTCCCAGGAGGATGTTCAATCGGAACACGGCCAATCGAGGAACATCTGAAAGGATTGGAAAAAATGGGAGCCAATATCAAAGTCACCGAGGGGTCCGTTGAGGGTTATGCTCCTTCGGGATTACATGGGGCCACCATTCATATGCAGATCCCATCCGTGACAGGAACCATGGACTTGATGATGGCAGCATGTCTAGCCTCCGGAGTGACGTATATCTACAATTCAGCCCGTGAACCCGAAGTGACAGATCTGGCCCACTGCCTCATCAGCATGGGCGCGATGATACAAGAAGGAGTGGGACCCGGCCCTATCACCATTTTCGGCTGTGATAAGCCCCTCCTCCCCTACCGATACAAAGTCATGGAAGATCGAATTGAGGCAGAGGCATTTCTGATTCTTGGGGCAATGGCTGGAAATCCTCTCACAGTGCATGGATGTACTCCTAAATACCAGACCGCGTTGATAGAAAAGCTGCGTGCAGTGGGTGCTCAGATCGACATCAGGAAATATTCGATAATTGTCCGCAAGGCTATATGTCCCGTAGCCGTGGACATCCAGACGGGCCCATATCCTGCCTATCCGTCAGACCTTCAACCGCAATTCATGACACTACTCTCGGTGGTGCGGGGCACGTCCCGGATCACTGAGGCGGTCTTTGAGAATCGCTTCAATCAATCTGGTGGGCTTATTGCCATGGGAGCAGATATATGCGTTGACGGGGAGGATGCTGTGATATCGGGTGTGAGAGAGCTGTCCGGGAGCATGGTAGCTGCTACAGATTTACGGGTTGGTGCTAGTCTAGTCATTGCAGCCATTGTCGTCAAGGGGATCACTGTTATTTCAAGCGCTCAGCATATTGACCGGGGGTATTATGGGCTACAGAGGAAGTTGGAAAAGATCGGCGTGACTGTGACGCGGTCTCTTGGTTTTGATGAAGGTGCCGGGAAAGTAGACAGTCGGGTGGCCGTTCCTGCTCTCTGCTCAAGAGTGTAACATTGTAGACGATTTTTCACATTGTCAGCTGGTTCAATAGTAGCTATATAGTACCATCTATCTTTGCGACTCAGTTCATCTTCGTATCAACCGCTTACTGAGATGTGATGTAAATCTAGTGTGATATATATAGCTGTGTTCTGGTATAGTTCGAGGAAATGAGTGGGGCTATTCCTTATCTTATCAGCAGTGCAGCCTAAAATCATCTGGGGTAGTTCAACTTCCAACTTTTGGTTCTTAACTTCTTCAATCATGGATTCCGACGAGATTTTAGGGCTGGATCTGTTGAGGACGGAGAAAGAAGAAGATTTGGATGAAAAGTGAGTCCATAACTAACTCATGACACTAAGGTGCTGGGTAGATCACTGAATTCGTTTTGGCAGATACCCCAACAGACCTCACAACCGGGCCCCGACATTGCCGTTCCATGATTTGTATCTCGACCTATTCAATCCACTGAGCGAGCTTAGGAAAAAGCCATCAGGGCCTGCTCCAGCTCGCCGGAAAGTTGCTCCTCATGGAAAAGGTGCTACGAGTCTCAACCCGTTCGAGCGCCGGCGCGATGTGATTGAGCGTTTCATTTCGCGGTGGCGCAAGGATGTCGGCGACGACATCTACCCTGCCCTTCGCCTGATTCTTCCTGACAAAGATCGCGATCGACCAATGTACGGGATCAAGGAGAAGGCTATCGGGAAGATGCTCGTCAAGATCATGAAAATCAACAAAGAATCAGAAGACGGATACAATCTTCTGAATTGGAAGCTTCCCGGCCAGGGTGCTACAACACGTATGGCAGGTGACTTTGCTGGAAGATGTTTTGACGTTCTCTCGAAACGGCCTATGCGGACCGAGCCGGGTGACATGACGATCGACGAGGTCAATGAGAAGCTGGATAAACTATCTGCTGCGTCAAAAGAGGACGAACAACTGCCAATATTGACAGAGTTCTACCGGCGAATGAACCCCGAAGAGCTTCTGTGGCTCATCCGGATTATACTTCGACAGATGAAGGTTGGTGCTACCGAACGAACACTCTTTGATGTTTGGCATCCCGATGCCGAGAACCTTTACAGCATCTCTAGCAGTCTGCGGCGTGTTTGCTGGGAGCTGCATGATCCCAATATCCGGCTTGAGGGAGAGGAGCGCGGTATCACGTTGATGCAATGCTTCCAGCCGCAGCTAGCCCAATTCCAGATGCATTCGTTTGAGAAAATCATTGCTCGCATGAAACCAACAGAAGATGACAATGTGTTTTGGATTGAGGAGAAAATGGATGGTGAGCGTATGCAACTCCATATGACGCCTGACGACTCAACCAAAGGCGGTCGGAAATTTGGCTTCTGGTCGCGCAAAGCGAAAGAATATACCTATCTATATGGGAATGGAATTTATGATGAGAACGGTGCTCTGACAAGGCATCTAAAAGATGCTTTCGTGGATGGAGTACAGAGCATCATTCTCGACGGTGAAATGATCACCTGGGATCCTGAGCAGGACGCCATGATTCCCTTTGGCACGCTCAAAACCGCGGCGCTGGCGGAACAACGGAATCCTTTCTCAAATGGCCCGCGACCTTTGTTCCGCGTGTTCGATATCTTACATCTGAATGGGCGCGATCTAACGAAGTATACCCTTCGTGATCGTCGCAATGCCTTGGAGAAAACTGTCCGGCCTGTCCATCGTCGGTTTGAAATTCACTCTTACGAGGAAGCAACTACCACCACAGAAGTTGAATCGGCTCTGCGGAAGGTCGTCGCTGAGGCATCTGAAGGTCTTGTGTTGAAGAACCCGCGCTCTCCATATCGACTGAACGAACGCCACGATGACTGGATGAAAGTCAAACCAGACTATATGACCGAATTTGGAGAATCACTTGACGTTGTTGTTATTGGCGGCTACTACGGCTCTGGCCATCGAGGAGGTGCGCTATCCAGTTTTCTCTGTGGACTACGTGTCGACGACAACACACAAGCAGCAGAGAAGTGCTGGTCCTTTTGTAAGGTCGGTGGCGGGTTTACTGCTGCTGACTACCAGGAGGTCCGCCATAATACAGATGGCAAGTGGAAGGCGTGGGATGCGAAAAAGCCACCGACTACCTTTATCGAACTGGCGGGTGGAGACGCCCAGCATGAGCGTCCAGATATGTGGATCAAACCATCCGACTCGATTGTTCTGTGTGTGAAAGCCGCATCTGTCGCAATCAGTGATCAATTCCGCATGGGATTGACGTTGCGCTTTCCTCGCTTCAAGAAATTGCGTAAGGACAAAGACTGGAAAAGTGCGCTCTCAGTTCAGGAGTTCCTTGACCTGAAGTCCAATGCAGAGCAGGAACATCGGGAGAAAGAGTTCTCTATCGATAACCCTCGTAAGAAGAGAGTGAAGAGGGCCACTAAGAAACCGCTCACAGTTGCTGGATATGACGAGAATGTGGATGTCCAGTATCTTGGACCTTCTGGGCATGTCTTTGATGAGCTTAATTTCTGTATGTGGCTTGATCGTGTTCCCTTACTATCATACATAATACTAATGTAATGGCCTTCTAGTCATAATGACCGAGTCTACCGTCCCAGAAAAGAAAACAAAACCTCAACTGGAACAACTCGTGAAAGCTAATGGTGGCAAAATCTATCAAACCAAGATAGCTGCGATAGACACGCTCTGTGTTGCCGAGCGGAGTGAGCCTAATTCTACACATATGAAATAACCCTAAGCTAATATTTGGACAGAAACGGTTAAAGTAGCTTCGTTACAAAAGAGTGGGGAGCAAAACATTATTCGACCCTCTTGGCTTATCGATTGCGTCAAACAGAATGAAATAGATGCAGGCCTGCCGGATCTTCTTCTCCCGTTCGAGCCAAGGTACGTTTTGACAGCCAAGGGACATACTCATACACGGGACTGATATGTATCGATTCTATAGGCACATGTTTTTCATGACAGAGGACAAAGAGGAAGAAGTTGCGGCAAACGTCGACAAATTCATGGATAGTTATGCCCGTGATACAACCGTCGACGAGCTCAAGGATGTATGGCGCCCCCAGAGAAATAGCGAGAAACAACCGTGATTTTAGCTAACGTTTATTCCATCTTGCAGATATTCAAGCAAATGGAACAAAACCAAGAGCAGCAGCCCGACCATGCCCCGGACCTAGAAACCATCCAGAGGGTCGAGGCTCGCATCCAGGAAAAGGTAAACGCCGGTTACACAGTACCCTGTGGATGGATCTTCCGAGGCTTGAGGTTCTGCTTCTACTCAAACAAAGATCAGCCAGACGAACCAGCCTCTCGAGAACTGAGAAAGGAGGACCAACGCCTCCACTTCGCTCGCAACACAGCCCGGTTTGCAGGCGCCGAGAGCGCCAACTCGTTGAAGAGCTCGGGCACCACACATGTGATAGTCAACCCAGAGACTTTGTCTTCGGCGGACATATCATCTCTCCGGAAGTCTCTGGCCGAGAGGCCGGGTGCAAAAATGCCGCATCTTGTTAGCGTGGGCTGGGTGGAAGAATGCTGGAAAAATCGCACTTTACTAGATGAAGAGAGTAAGTTGTAACATCCTTTTCGTATTTTTCGTCTTTTGGGGCGTTCTAACGCGTTCTGTGGTGACAGGATTCCCGGTTCCGCGGTGAGTAAGAGCTGAGTTCAATCGCGTGATGAATTATGCTTTTGTTTTGTTTTGTTTTTTGTTCCTGATTTCCTCTTTTGGTCGCTGGATATTTCATGACTGTGCGAAGTGTGCGAGTCGAAATTAACCACGGAGTACAACAAGTCACATTGTATGATCTTCTGACTTCCCTCAAGCCAGCGAGGCTATATCAGACTGGAGAAATACCGGCGTAACCGAAATGACCTACCCCTTAAAGCAGTAAAACCTTTTTTGAGTAGAAACGCCGTATCATTTGAACCCAATGGCTATTATGATGGCCGAAGAGCCCAATATTAAACGACCGAGGCTCATCAGGCCACGCGGGGTGATCTCATGTCATGGCCACGTGGGATGCAAGATGATGTCACATTACGGAATGTTCAAAGTCAATCTAAGATTACCTAAACAAGAGTTTAACCTAGTTATGTACGGAGGTAACTATAGCCAAACGAGTAGGCTCTCTCCAGCTCCAGTATGCTCTCAAGGCAGCCTTTTTGGCGTATTCTTTGTCTTCTATCCAGAACGGCGAACAGTAACTACACGAAGCAAGCACGGCCTAGGCCATCAAAAAGTGAGACTTTGATCAATGACTAACATGAGTCTCGAAAAACTCCAGGGCTCGTGTGACCAGCTGCACTCATACTTTCTTGAACCCTAATTGCCAAGATGGGCTAGTCTATAATGGGGTTTCTCTGTAGTACATGGTATGTATTGTTCAAGTCGTACAAAGTGCGAATGACCGCTAACGTAGTATGTTGAAGTACTCGGCTGTTCTGAACATGATTTAATGTAAACCAATAACCTAATAGCGGTTGGTTAGTAAGAGTAGTCAGAATAGAAAGTTTTATCATATATTTACATCTGCCCCTGCCTCTCCTAAACAGACTGTTTTTAATAGTCATCATCTGTGTAATGTGGCTGTTTATATTGTCTTCCCAGCACTCACTTTGTATGTCTTCACTTCTCACACAGTTTGTTGTGCTTGAAATCCTTTACTAGTACTCGCCAATCAGGCTTATAAATAGGTTAAGGTATCTATTATTTACCAGCTTAACGAAGTCATGAAAAGAAGTATAAGACTCAATTATGTTAACTGCTACTATTAGGTGGCTTACCTTCTCAACCATTTTCTCTTGAAGTGCAATTTTGCATGCCCCCTTAGCCCATAACCCCACTTTGGGTACATACTCCATCACTTCACCAATAATGCATGATTTGATGTCCTTGTAACTCTCTTCGCTTGCGGTACAGATGTTTTTAGCTCCCATGATCTTTGGATTTCCCTCAATGCATTTTTTGACGATTTTGTCAAAGACCTTGCCTGGATCAATGCCAAGCTTCTGAATAGGATGGCCTCTTTTCTGGAAAGTGCCAAATATCCACTCCATAATGATGTGCTTCTTGATAGGATCAATCGAGTACTTTTTATAAGCAGGCGCGAATGCGACTTTGCACTTATACTCTTCACAAATTGTTTTCTTTATCCACGCAAATGCAGCTTTCGATGCTGGAATGGCACTTTTGAACACCTTTTTGCAATCTGGTGGAAGTGGCAACAAATCAACGGACTGTCTTGCTGCAAGATGATTGCCTTGAAGAGCCTCTTCGGCTGTGAGACTGTCATTGCCTGCGGGACGTAACTGTGATTCCATAGCTATGGGGTCATTGCTTAAGAGATCTGTCGGACTTGGGTGGCTGGAGACGAATGCACAGAGCATAGCGATGAGAACCACAAGGGTCGTGAAATTGAGGATATACATTTTGGCGATTAGGAAGCAATCCAAAAAAAGACGAAGTATAAGAAAGGATAAACCACTCTATCATTCAAAGATAGAGACTTTAATTAAAGAGTCTTGAAAGAGGGATTTAGGACGTTTAAATAACCATGATCTTAGCCCACCTGATCTCTCTGCTACTATAGCTCTCATGTAATACCTAGTTTTTAGGACTAGAGCATTGATCTATAATTGTGCATTGATCTACAATGTAGAAATCACGATCCCGTAAATTTTCAGCTGAAATCAAGCAAGGGCTTAGGGTTTTATCCACTACTCACCAGTATTCTAATGATCTATAGAGTCATTAGTGCCACCCCTATGGATGGATCAGCTGCAGACACCCTTCTTCAAATGATCAGCTAGGCCCTTACTGTAAGGGGCTGTCAACCTAATGTATTCTGCTATTGATTGCTTCAGAGCTACTGACATACATCCCTTCTATTAAGTCCCGCCACAAATCCACATTTTTAGCGCCAGGCATATCACCTAGGCTCATATATATCTTTAGATTATGTTAGTCTACTTGAAATAGTTAGCGAGCTTTTATCTATTGCCTTAAGTACCTTATATATTATCTTTTTTTAGGGGACTTTTTAGGGTAAAATCAAAGGAAGGCTAGTTAATTAGTTAACTAGTTAGTTAATCTAGCGCTATTTATCTATATTAAACACTAGGTTATCCTGATTATACTAGATATAAAAGGGATCGAATATTAATTAGAGCCGCTTTAACTACCTATCGAAGTATTAAAAATACGAAGTTCTTGTCTGCATTTACTCCTCACAGTGACGATACATAGAGTCGTGACTTTGAATGTAAGATACTGTACAAAGAACAAATATTATGACAGGAATATCAATACTCCGACTCTAGTCCTAATATGATATAGTATATTTTGGCATTAGGGTTTTAAGAAACATCAAAGAGAGGACATAATGACGCCAGTCCTTTATGAGACTTTTCCCATATATTACACTGTGCTTGTTACAGTTACAAGACAAAAGAAGCTTAATGTTCAAGATTTGATTTGAGTTGAATAGATATCTTAGGCAGTGATCGAAAGATCGATCCGAAAAAAAGAAAAGGCAGCGATAGAAAAAGCATAGCGCTGTCAAGGTAGAAATGGGGGTATGTAACAAGAAAGAGAAAATAATTGCGCCGAGCAGGAAACCGTCCTAATCCAACGCCGCGCTTGCAGCCGATAACCAAAGATAAATGCAAAAGAAAACAAAGATGTATGTACTGAAGTGACGTGACCAAAAAGGGAGATGTATCGTGCCATATCCTACGCTCTGCGCTAAGACAGACATCCATCAAAACCTTTATTTCACTGGGCTGAGACGCCCACCCATCGGGACGGAACGGCGTTGTCATCTCCGTCATCGTATTGTCCCGATAAGTGGTAATTTGTCTTGCGCGCTGGCAGCCAGATGCGCGCACGGGCGGGGATGTCGTCGCGGAGTTTGCCACTACGCCGCATGTTCATTTCAAGAACGACCACGCGCAAGAAATCGCTGTTCTCCCGAATTTCGCGCTGGCGTGACATGGATGGGACTTCCGGGTCGAAAGTGATGTATTTCTGGTCCTTGCTCGCGATGTGGAAATGGTTTCGCCGGTTCCCACGGCCGCCGGCTCGACGATATGTCTGCATTTGGATCGAGACGGGGCACGTATTGGAGGTTTGTGGCTTGTCGTGGGGATGATCATGATAGACATACATCTCTGCGGGTGACATCGGGGTTGGGTTCATCGGAGATGGATTCAAGTAGCGTCGTAATGCTGGGGAAGGTGTTTCTTGCATCGGCAGAGGACGGCGATCATCGGTCATCTCTGGGGTGATGGTGAAAAGAGATCGGGTGAGGAAATCCTCCGGTTGAACGGAAGGTGTGGCAAATGTCGAGACTGACTGGGCAGCGGATTTGATGGCCCGTAAAGATGCTGTGAGGTTCGACTTGAAAGTAGATCCGAGGCGCCCGAATGATGCAGCTCGCTTTGCGGGTACTGTGTCGGGGGTGGCAGGCTCATTCTCGTTCTCGTTCTTGATTTCGATGGATTCACATTCATCGAATTCGGTTATAAGCAGAGGATGGTCCAAAGCACACTCCTCGCAATGTGAATACCGAGGCTGTCGTCTCTCCGTTGGACTTCGATGGCTAGAAGGGCTTGGCGGCGAGGGAAGACTGGAGGGCGATGCCAGGCTATGGTCTAATGACGGCATCGAATCACTTGATGTTGACCTCACTGAAAGTGGTGGTTCGTGCTCGGAATCATTGCAAGACAGGTGTTTCTCATTATCGTTATCGGGGGGGCTGAGAAGGATGTCGAGAGGCGAGTAGGCGGTTCCATCCAGGAAACTATCTTCCTTCGACTTGATATCTTCCTGCAACATGCGCCTAAAGTCTTCTTCATGATTTCCGCGAGGTAGTTTCCGAGGTCTGCGGGTGGTCCAGTTTCGTCGCGGGACAGGAATAGCCGTTGCATCCAACATCGAAATGAATGACGTAGGGACGGGCCGGTCATTGGACGAGCTGGAGGACCGGCGAGAGGATTCCGAGGCTTTCGATAAGGTACGTGGACGAGTATCTCGACGTGCTGACAGAGTGCGTGAGCCACGCTTTGGAGGGATTACCACTGGGATAGTGTTCATCGATCCACGGGTCTCAGTGGGAGTGGGGAGACGAAGGCCAGAAGGATCCGCTGCGGTGAATGGCTCCATCCCATGAGACTGGAATGGTTTCTGCGGCGGCGCTGAGCTGAATAGAAATGCTCTTGGGACCATCATGTTGACGGTTGTTTCACCACACGAGCACAGTTGCTATCGAGGCCTTGACCGGATGAAGCGCTCTGGTCGAGTGTCTGAGCGAGATACATGGATGAAAGAGAAAACCGTGGAAAGGGAGAAGCTCCCAGGGAGACAGACGAGAGAGGACTGGCAACCAATCCGAGGGTGTATGTGTTGGCCCAAAGAGATACAAGGGAAGCGGATAAGGCCGTGAGACAAGGGTATGCAGGCACACACGCGAGCGGATAAGGTGATAGAGAAGGGCGATAAGGTAGGAAATTTGGTAGGATGGACAGGAGGGAGGAGGATATTAAATGATCAGGAAGGAGGATAATAGCAAGAAATATAGAAAGAGACGTAGAAGTCAATTAAGACAGAGAGAGGGAGATAATGGGGGGAGAGAAAGTGGTGATCTCAGATAGATAAGCCGTATTGGGCAGGTAAACGCATGTAAAGATCACGGGGGGGCGGAGGACAGTAATTTATTTTACGATGTGAGTGATTGGTTGTGCGAGGGACAATGCCGGGGTCCGGATTGTGCCCGGAGATTGAAACGGTATTTCTGTACATTTTAAATACAATTACCATTACTCATGGAACATTCCGCCGGTGGAGTCCGGAAGGGAAGGAAATGATTTTTTATATTTTTAGTTATTCGATTATTTTTTATGATGGATAGTATATGATTACTTACAATATATACTCTACAACGTATGATTAGCTCAATGTAGTAAGACATACATATGTATCCCGTATATATATGTAGTATTATAGAGATGTATATGAAAACGAATCACAGCCATCTCAGCCTTTCAGATCAGTGTTGAATAAGATGTGTGGGCCGTTTAAGGTTGCTTTTAGTGCGGTGTGGGCAGATGCACACCGTTCTCCCCAGAATCAAGACTGGAAAAAAAAGGGGAAGATCGATTTTCACAATTTTTAACATTCGGACTGATCTGGTTAATTTGCTTATATTTTACGGGAAAAGAAATGATAATCATAATCATATATTTGAATCACTTTGATAGATCGGCAGGAGCTCCGAGGCTCCCTCCGGTTCCTTCAGATGTTAAGGGGAAAAATATTAAAAAAGGAGCGGGTGGCTGCAGTGTCCCAAAACGTCAAGTCGAAGAGACCTTACGTGGCTAGTGGACCGCCTTAAGCGAAAATAATTGCATTAATAATTGCGGTGAAGCCCCTTTTCTCTATTTTCTTTCCTCTATTTTTTTCCTTATACTCCGTAGTTATTGGTGGCTTGTACGGAGTAATTGTGGCTTAATAATTATATTTCTATTCATCGCACTTCCCGGTTTGGATCATTGCTTCCGAATCACTCCGTAAACAATTGTCTTAAATAATGTTCGATGTCAACTGTGTTATACATGCAAACATCGAGATTGGCCTTGAAAATCAAAACAACCTTGGAAAGAGACCCACCTACATTGTTACCTAAACATCCTTATATGACCCGTTCGGAATTTCAATAGATCTGAATTACAAACACACATCAAAAATGTCCACAATCCCAAAAAGCAATGTTAAGACGTGGCTAGTGGAGCGCCTTTAGCGAGGGTAATTGCGGTGAACCCTTGTAGGAAGTATAGATGTATACCGTGTTTGTTTTTCTGTCTTATTGTGAAGTTAGGCAGTCATACATGGATGGTTTAATTGCGATTTTGCCTTATCTATTCGGTCTGTTTTGCTTGCGGCTATACAAAGTAATATACCGGATAATGCACTTCCCTCCCATTTTAGTGTTCACCTCTTGCCGCTTTTGGATTTTGGAGTAAAATTGAACACCATTGCTTTTTATATTGCAGATTTGATTTTCAGGAACACCGTCCCGGTTGTTAGTCTGCTGCGACACTTGCCGTAATGTAGCCGAAGATAATGGGAAGGCCATCATAAACATGTTGATTACAAACATCGTTATGTTGGCTCATTTGTATGATAGTTACACTGAGGGAATTCACCAGTCCCCCCAACTCTCCTCACCCCACCATCATGATCTTTTATCCGTTCGTCGTGGCTACTAGAGACGAAACCCAGTATGAAAAAATCAGAATAACCCGAACTATTCCACCTCCTCCGTAGTAGGACCGTCCCGTTTCTCATCGTTAGTATCAGCGTGACCGACCGGATACTTCTCACCCCCCATCTGTGCACCCAACCCAGTACAAACATATCTATTAAGCCTCCACACCGGAACCTGCGCCTGAAACATCACATCGATATCCTCCAGCGACCTTCCTTTCGTCTCAGGTACATAAAACCACACAAACCCCAGCGCCGCAATCGAGAACGCCCCATAGATAAATGTCACACGGACGCCGATACTAGTCTGCACATAGGGGTTGACAAAGTTGATCGGAACGGAGGTCAAGAAGCTACCCATGGAAGCGAGGAAGATGATACGCTCACACAACTGACCCTTCCTACTTCACCAGTGACAATCCAGCATCCCGGTCCCCAAGTAAAGCTGTAAATGCAGTACCAAAGAATCAGAAGGGCTGCACAGGCCTTCTTAGCTTGTAGGGATAGATTGGCTACAATGCTGCTTGATTCGATGGCACCACCCGTTGATATCATTGTCGCTGCTAGTCCGATCGAGCCGAGAATCAGTGACCAGCGCCGGCCTAGTTGGTCGAAGGTTATGAATGTGATGATGTGACCGGCAAATGAGCATCCAGTGACTAGGACGTTTGTTCGGAGGGGATCTGGGAAGCCGAGAGGATGGCCTCAAATCAAGCATTTAGGAACCGTAAATTGAACACATTCTCATTCCTCTCTTCATTCGATAATTGATCTTCTCAATAGTCAGCCGCAATGCTCTGCGTTGCACGTTGGCTGTGTCTGGGGACACTTTTGGCAACTCTCACACTCTGCGCTCAACCAACTCCGCTATGTCACCAGAAGCCAACCCCAAAGCCACGTCTATTCCTTTTGAGCGACATCACGAATGAGCCAGATGACGCATAGTCGCTAGTCCGACCACTCCTTTATTCAAACGAGTTACGGATTGAAGGCCTCGTCGCTACAACAAGCTTTTGGCTCAATGATACCACCCGCCCCGACCAAATGCGGGGTATTGTGCAGGGGTACAAGGAGACGCGAGACAATTTAAAGACTCACGCTTCGGGATGGCCAGAGCCAGAGCACCTTTTGTCACTCATTGCCTCGGAATCGACAGTCTACGGCGTGGATGGAGTAGGAAATGGCCGTGACAGTGAGGCCTCGGAGATGCTAGTCAATGCAGTTGATGCATCTGCTGAACCTTTATGGGTTCCTCCATGGGGTGGAGCGAATACTCTCGCCCAGGCACTTTGGCATGTGAATGCGACGAGACAGGCAGACATTGACTTGTTTGTCTCCAAATTGCGAGGGTATTCCACCTCCGATCAAGATAATGACGGTCCGTGGATTCGGTGAAATTGGCCTAGTCTGTTCTATATCTCTAGCGTGCATGCTTTCAACCGTTATGGCAATGCTGCTTAGGGAGGAATGTCTGGCGATAACTATTATCACTTCCCTAACAAGGCAAACAAAGAAGTCATTTCTCCATCTTGGATTCGGGATATTATCCAAATTGGACTATTAGGTGCGAAGCACCCGAACAGTGAATTTATCATGGAAGGTATATATTCTCCACAGGTGTTCCATTTGACCTGGGTCCAATGCTAACCTTGAACTACAGGCGACAGTCCTTCTCTGCTATATCTTATCCCCAACGGGCTATCAGATCCTGAACACCCCGAATAGGGCTTATGGGGAGGCCGATACGGCCCTGTTGCATGGGGCGAAGGTCACTTTGCTAACAGCATTGATACCGTTGTTGATGACAACGGTAAAACAATGATGGGCTCTCAAGTGACAGTCTGGCGCTGGAGAGAGATCTTCCAAAATGATTTCAAATCCCGGATGCAGTGGACTATCAGACCACAATTTGAACAAGCAAGCCATGCGTATATTGCAATTGTGAACGGCAGTGCTAGTCGCGAGGTGCTCCAATATGTTGTGTTTCCTGAGCAAAATGTGATCCTTAATGAATCTAAGTCATGTAATCCTGATGATCACGGTGCATTTTCGTTCAAGTGGTGGCAATATCTGGAGCCCAGTTCGAACCTTAACACACCAAAGCGAGATGTTACCGTTCTAAACCTGCAGCAAAGAAATGCAGCCACAGTGACGATCGAAATTCCACCGGCCGAGACTCTGATGAGGGCTGGCAGGGTTGTTCATGCAGAAGCAGACAAGCACTTACATATCATTCTGGAGGCGTCGAATGGAGGACAACCCGCTTATCGCCGAGTGATTCTCACGATAAAGGGTAACACTTCGAGCGAGAAAACAGAAGGGAGAGAGCATCAGGGTCATGACGAAATTTGAATGGCAAAAACAGATGCTAGGTATAATTAGTACAATATGGTTTTCAGGACCGTATCAAATTTGGCTACCAAGTACGGTAGGAAGTTATTGGGGATATGGGACAGAATCCAATGCACGTGACTGAACCCGTGCTGGTATCTACTCTGAGAACTTGAGTCCACCCTCTCATTAAAGCGGCAGCTCAACTAAGGAACCTCCCCGGCCGGCGCCCAACCCTGGGAAAATCCGGGACGATAGACACAAACATCCATGTAACCTCAATCCTTCTATGTAACCCGCCAAAGGCTTGAATCCTTCATGTGAAATCCGAAACATGTATCGGAGATAACATCCTGAGAATCACTTGGCATGCATCTAAATAGATTTCTATTTCTATAACAATTACAACGATATAATCATATGGAATGAGGCTAGAATAATCATGTTTTGTAGATGCTCAGCCCCCACGTGAAGACATTAGTCAGCCGCTTATCGAAGATGGACATCCCAACACCTGCACAGCCATCCAGAGGCCGGCGATAACCACATCTTGCATCGTCCTGCTTGCATCCAATCATTTCAAGGGCATCGCCAATCTCCAATCTCACCAAATTTTGCACTGAGCTTGTCCCCATCTCCACTGCGGGTCGTTGCAATCGTGGGTCATTGCAATCGTGGGGTATTACATTCCTTCTACGATTGCCATCAGGCCTGTGTAGATCTTCAAGCGTAGCTGGTGCGTTGATATTTCCTCGTTGTAAGGCGCACCGATCTTAGCGCCTGGCTAGACGGACAAAATCGCCATGGATGGTCCGGGAGACTAACATGCCGACATAGCCACCGTGTGCACCCTCGATCTAGCAAGCCATCATGTTTTATTAACGAGCTCTGTCCTCTAAAAGATGGACATCCCATGTCGAGGTTTGGACCACTCACCGGCAAACACGATACTAGGCATGCGAAGCGACCCCACGGAGAAACTGTCTCACTCACTTCTTGAATCGCACCTATCAAAATATTTGAAAATATGAGCAACCAAACGTCCAAAAGACGATGCGTCAGCACAGCCTGTGTCGCCTGCCGCAAAAGGAAGTCAAAGGTTGGACTTCCATATTCTGGTACCTAGGTATCGAGACGTCGCATTACTAATAACATCTACGTGTAGTGTGATGGGAACCTGCCCAGCTGTGCAGCTTGCTCCTCAGTATATCATACACCTTGTATGTGTATCTCTTTTACAAAAAGAGCAATACCATCATTGCTAATCATTCATAGGTGTATATGATCCAAACTCGGATCACCGCCGCAAAGGTGTTTACAAGAAAGACACTGATACATTGCGCACCCGAAACACCACCCTACAGACATTGATCCAGGCAATATTAAACTACGAAGAAGCGGATGCTTTCGAATTAGTGCGTCAGATTCGCTCTTGCGATGATCTCGAAGATGTAGCTACTTCGGTGATCGCCCAGGAGAAGGGGCTCATGTCTATGGACAAAGCAGCAAAGGAGTCAGCCAGCAATGAGAATATAGCTGGAATAGATCAGTTCGAATCAGAGCTGGCTGGCAAGATGAGTGAGCTCATGCTTGATGGTTCTCGCAAATTTATCGGAGGTACCTCGAACCTCATCTTCTTGCCGCCAGGATCCGAGCTGCACGAGTCTGCGCCGGTTCAAAAAAGCCTCCTCGATACCGATAATCAAACACACGCTGTGAGCCGGTGGACTGAAGTCACAGACGACGACTCCCTAATCAGCCATCTGATGACCATGTACTTTACATGGCACTATCCCTTCTTCACTACGCTTTCCAAGAATATGTTCTATCGGGATTACATCCGCGGTGTTTCCAGTTCATATTGCTCTGCATTACTCGTCAATGCTATCCTAGCTCTGGGCTGCCATTTCAGCTCATGGCAAGGTGCTTTTGATGACCCCCAGGATCTTGCAACAGCCGGAAATCATTTCTTTAAAGAGGCGAAGCGACTCGTCCTAGAAAATGACGAGCATGAGAATGCAAAGCTTTGCACTGTCCAGGCATTCGCACTTATGTCTGTCCGAGAGGCGGGATGTGGCCGTGAAGGAAAAGGCTGGGTCTATAGTGGTCTCAGTTTCCGCATGGCTTTTGATCTAGGGTTAAATCTTGATTCGGCAAATCTTGGGGCCCACAGTCTCAGCGACGAAGAGATTGATGCTCGGCGGATCACCTTTTGGGGTTGCTATCTCATTGACAAGTCAGTCTTTATTGCCTTGATTATTTCTAATGCCTCTCTAACACTCTACAGATGCTGGTCAAATTACCTCGGGCGTCAACCCCAGTTGACCTCAGCCAATGTCAACGTGCCCAAGTTTGATGTGTTACCACAAGAAGAAATAGAGCTATGGTCGCCCTATACTGATGCTGGAGTTGGTCACGAGCACACGCAACCTTCACGAACCAGGGCTGTCGCGCTCCAAATATCCAAACTGTGTGAGATCAGCAGCGATGTACTTGTGTTCTTCTACCACCCAACCGAGCTTGAACATTCCCAGCCTAAACAGTCAGAACTGAAGAAACTGAGCGATGTTCACACCCGACTTGAGGCGTGGAAAACTAAATTGCCCAGGGAACTGATGGCAAAAGAAGGACAGCTACCACAAGTGCTCGTTATGCAGTAAGTTGACACATACCTATGCCACATGGTATCGCCTCAGCTAACTCTTGCCTCAGTATGCTGTATCAGCTCCAGATAATTCATTTGTACCGACCATTCCTGAAGTACACCAAGGCCAATACTCCACTTCCTTCCCATGTCTCACCTCGCAAGATATGCACGCAGGCTGCCGCAACTGTTTCCAAGCTGCTGCGCATATACAAACGAGGATATGGTCTGAAACAGATCTGCAACATCGCCGTCTATATTGCCCACACTGCATGCACCGTCCATCTTCTCAACCTCCCTGACAAAAATGCTCAGAGAGACGTGATACACGGCCTCAAGAATCTCGAAGAAATGGCAGAGGGCTGGCTCTGTGCTCGACGTACCCTCCGCATCCTCGACATATCCGCAAATAAATGGCAAGTAGAGTTACCACCCGAAGCAATCTCCGTCTTTGAACGAACACATAACAAATGGGGATCCTGGGGCTCTTGGGACCAAACGACTTCCCCCTCAACATCCAACGACTCTCCCACCGCAACCGTGTTACAACCCCCTACAAGCTCAAGCCAATTCTCACCATCTGCGCTCCCATTCCCACATTCTCACACCGAACCCATCGCCATGGTTGATCCACCAATGGGCCCTCAATATGGACCCCTCGCCGCTGCCCCGATATCGTTCCCCTCCATGCAAGGAATGCACCCACATGAAGCCCAGCGGCCCGAGTTTGCCCCTCCCGAACCAACATATCTCCGGCCTCAAATGGCCTACCAATTCACTCCCCTCCGAAGATCCGTTCCAGCTCCCTCTTCTCCCCATCCGAACAAGTGGTACGATGGCTCTGGGGCGCATATCTCACCCCAAAACGCAACGCCGACATCGGTTGCGTCTCCTGTGTCTGGGTATGACGGCACCGAAAACCTGGTCGAAGAGAGCCAGGACTGGTGGTCGAGAAATGCTAACGCGTATGGCATCGGCATGGATGGTTGGAGTGGTACTTGGAATACTCCTCCTCAAAACCAGCCTTCTCTCATTCAATACCAGGATGGTAATCTCATGTCTGTTGCTCAACCTTCTAGTTCTAGTGATGAGCAGCCTCAAGCCCCCCGGGGAATTTCCACAGTTGGGTCACCCGATGACACAACTGGGTACGGGGATAGGTGGAAATAATGCGTGGACGTCGTGACTTTTGATTCATGGGAACATATCTCGTTCGATTTTTGATACCACATTAGGGGGTTTTTGTTTTATGCGGGCGTTTATGGATATGCCATCTACAATTTTGTTTCTGTTTAAAATCTTATGATTAATTTACATTCAAGGACATTTAGAGGTGCAAGTATCAAAAGATTTGTCATAGATGATCATTAGTTCTCAAAAACCAACACCGAGGCGCAAAATGCTACTTCCAAGAGAACCATATAAAAAGGGGGACAAAAAAGGTGCGTGGGATGGTATCACTACATGGCATGGATGTTAGTAAAATGATACCAGTCAAGGCAACGAAAAAGAAAGAAGAGCTTACCAAGAAATAATCAGCGACAGGCTTCTTCGCAGGCATGCCCCTTGTATCCTGCGCCGCAGCCTCGAAGACACGATATCTCCTTCCAGGGCTGACAACTCTATCTGTAACAATGCCGTTGCTCCGACCATATTCGCCGTTACTGCGAGCAACAGTGCCACCGCCACTCGCGTCTTCACCCAGCTCAAGGATAGCGGCAACATTGCCGCAACGGTAGCAATAGTTCGGAGCAGACCAGACAGTGACGATACCACCATCAAACATCTCTTTGTATCCCTCCATAACAAGTTGGTGAGCACGCGCAACAAGAGACAAGCCGTTGAGATGGTTGAACTGTTTGACGATATCGCCGCCGAAGAGGAACCCAGCTCCACGAGGACTCAATCCCCAGCCTTCGATCTCATCCGGATCTGACCAAAGCAGATCACACATGGCACCTTCGTGTGGCACCTCTTGCTTGCGGTCAATCAGCCGAATTTTATCGACAGAGTCAATGAGCGGGGACAATCCACCGTGTACACAGAGCACCGCACCAGTCCGGCTAGTCGCGGCGCTGCCGTTGCCATCGCCGCTCGCGCCTGTCCCCGGTGCACCCGATCGTGAAGGCGCGGCAGCCTGGCCTGGGGCGGCGGAGATGTCTCGTGGCGGGGAGATATTTCTGGAGTCTGTAGATGCATCGGAAGACGAGCGTTGTCGCGCGCGGTACGTACTCATCGTGACTTCGCCTCTAGAATTCAGTACTTCTGTTTCCAGCTCGCTGTCATCGATCGGCATGCTTGATAATGCTGTGTTGGAGGAGGGTTCTAGCTCTGAGCTCGCGCCGAGCACGATCGCGCCCAGGGCCAGGTAGTCGAA